GTGTTTGACGTGCGTAGATGGAGAAAAAGGAGTTTCGTGCTGTGATTAAACATTTTTATTTGAAAGACTGGAGAGCATTGCAAACCAAACATGAATTCGATGTGCATGTAAACTCTGCACCATCATTGAAGATAATTTACATCTGGATTAATGGGTGCAAACGTAGTCGCCGAAGCACAGAAGATGAAGTGCACTCTGCCCGGCCAGTTGAGGTCACCGAAAACAGTGGAAAAAATGCACGACCTGGTAATGGAAAATCGCAGAGTGAAAGTGCGTGAGATTGCTGATGCTGTTGGCATCTCAACCGCAAGAGTGCACTTCATCTTGCATGAAAAAGATGTGCGTGAGATGGGTGCCGCGATTGCTCACTTTGGATGAAAAACTGAATCGAAAGAGCATTTCAAAGCAAAATCTGACATTGTTAAGGCAAAATTAGCAGGACTTTTGGCGCAGATTCGTCGTGGATGAAACATGGACACTACACTCCCGAAACAGAAAGAGATTCAAAACAGTGAATAAAGAGAGTGCACTGAAGAAGGCGAAGAGAGTTTTGTCAGCAGGAAAGGTGATGGCAACGGTTTTTTTGGTTTATCAGGTTGTAATCCTCATAGATTGTTTGGAAAAGAGCAGAACCATAACTGGGTGATATTACGCTTCATAATTGGATAGTGTAAAACAGAAATTGGCGCAAACGGCCAAGGTTGTCGCACAAAAAAGTGCTGTTCCGCCAAGACAATGCTCCATCCCACACAGCAGCAGTCACAATGGCAAAAGTGCATCAGTTAGATTCGAACTGGTTCCTCATCCGCCATATTCACCAGATTTAGCCCTGAGTGATTTCTTTCTATTCCCTAATTTGAAAATTTGGCTTGGTGGGCAAAAATGTTCATCAAATGAAGTGATTACTGCTGAAAACGGATATTTCGCAGTTTGACAATTCCTATTTTTCCGATGGGATGAAAAAGTTGGAAACTCGCTGGACAAACTGTACAGATCGAGAAGTATACTACGTTAACAAATAAGGTATGTTTGTTCGGGTTATGTGGGTGTTTTTTTTTCTTTCTTTTTTTGCCATACTTATCAAACAGCTCTTGTAATAATATATTGGAGTCCAGTGTTGTAAAGCGCGTGGGATGATATTCTCTGTTATTGTGAATGTCCCTTATTAATAAATCTTCTTTCAATTATATTTTGCTTTTAAATGATATTTACTTAGAAATCAAGCAGTTTCGTGCCTATAATCATGAGTCAAAACAGTCTAACTTTCAACACGTGTTGCTAAAACAGCACGTACTTTCTCGCCCGCACTTTCACGAAAAATCAAACAAAAATTACTCAAATTTTCGAAAAATTGTACATGATCTTATTTCAAAATCCATCTTTAAGGAACAGATTTTGTCAAGAAACAAATATGAAAGAATCAAGAAACATATATTTAATATTTTAGCTGGATGAAAACGAAAAATTAGAATTTTTGCAATTTTCGAAAAATCAGGGTTTTCAATTAACATGACACCTGCACCATTCTCTTAAACGTCTTTCACACTATCCAATAAAAATTTAATTAAAATCGATGGCACCATTTTTTGAAAAAGTTCCAGGGACTTCATATTCAGATTCCCCGAAATTAAAATATCGATTTCAAATTCAAGGAACCGCGACATCGGCCAGATCGTTTTAGGAATATCAATTTTTGAGAAAATCGGCTGAATGGTTTAGCCGCAAACTTTGTTCACAGACGGACGGACAGACACACACAGACTATTGCCGCATTCGATTTTTCATTATGAAGGACGTACAATACAAGGATTCTGCGAAACATCACGTGTTAGAGGATTTTAATATAGCACCTGGATTTATCCATTTTTTCGTTACAAGGGATCTGTATTAAAAGAGTTTTTCTGACGAAAATTTTTCGTGCGTATTATAGCATTCTCTCCACTGTGTTAACGGTAGCGGAAAAGAAAAAGAAAGTATTTCCCGTTTATTACAGACTATAGCTATAAATAAAACTAAATACTTTCGATCTTACAAAAAAAAGATAACATTTCAATGAAAAGAATGTTCATGTATCTTAATTATGCATCCTACAATTGTGTATGCACATTTATAATCGTAATAAATAATATTCACTTTCAATATATGATTCACTGAGAAAAATGTATCATTGAATTTGTTCAGTCCATTTAAATAGCAATGAGGATCGTCACCTCTGTGTTTAACTAATCTAATTAATAAATTAATAACCGATTAAATGATTAACAGAATGAAAATGTATACAATTTGTAGCATAAGTAACTTAAAACATTAATACAAACGAATATTTTCATGTTTATAATAGCGTCCTAATTGCCCCCCCCCCATAAAAGATCCAAAATCCGGCCTCTAGTTGCAGACACACGGACATGGCTACTGCAATTGAATTTCCCGCAAAGTGCGATTTGCATACATTTCACTGGCCTACCAAAAAAAATATTTTTTCTGCAACAACAAAACACATTTGTTCTGGAAGATAATTCACCTCTCAATCCAGATCTAATTCCAGAATTTCGGCCTCAGTTTTCATGTGTTTTTGTAATTGAGTAAATCTCCCTATGTATTACACATATTTGGAAAAATGACACGCTCTAATAACAACAGATCCACATGTATGCAGTACAAAATACAACAACAAAAGTGTTAAGAAAAGTAAAGAGGTGGCTTGGAATGTTTCACAGAAGGCTTGAAATGTTGGGTTAGCATGGATATCTTCTTCTCAGTCTTATGAATGTTCGTCACTGTAGCCTTCATTTTCATTCAGTGCCACGTTCTCAGGAGATAGTGGTACCAGCAATTCTACACTGTGACACACATGGCTTACTATAGATGGTAAATTAGATTAATGTTTTCTTTACTTTTAAGGTTATTTCAGCTATTTGTGACAGGCAGAAATAACAGCCTGTTGTGTGATCTGTTAGTTCCCTCTAAATCATGGGAACATCAAAGGGCATGTGTCATGAACATTTTAATCAGCCTGTCGGGAGTGTAACACAACACACACAATAAATGGGAGGCCCATTTCTTGTACTGGTCGCCTACCTTATACATAAAGATCATAACACTTTCTTACCAGAGAATGATGGATCAATTCTTGCAGTTTCAGAGTTAATTCTCCATAGATATAATATAACATTTTTGCTTTTTACACAGCTATAAGGCATTTCTTCTGAATTGACGAAGCACAAACAGAACAACAAGAAGTCCTATCCAATCCACTTTCTATGCTGTCAGATCTCTCAATGCTGAAACGGCAATTAGCAGCAAAAAACATGATTCTATCTTCAAACACAACTAATCAGCAACGTTGCACAACCTTTTTCATTTCCTAAATGTTCTTAATTCAGTGTCATGTGTAGGAATACCTGGTACAAATTGCAATTGTACCCTGAACAATTTCATCTGCAGAATTATTAAATTGAAGCTACACCAAATTAATTAATAATGTATTCAAATATTTCTGTAGAGAGTATCGTGTAATGAAAACTGGGCATGATAGGCAAACAATTTTTTTTTAATATTCGAATTTAGTATCAAAGCCTTTGATAAGAACACATTCTGTTTCAAAAATTCTGTTGACCATTGTTATCAGCACTCCTTAACTACATTTTCTTAAAAACTGCACATTTTCGATTGAAAAGTACACATTGGTCCAGATTTTATCCTTCTATAACATTCTAAAAGCCATATTTTAATTCTACTATTAGGGATTCAAAATATTGGCAGAAGGAACATGAAACCAAAGGTGGGCACCAAAGATGGCAGTAGAGATGAGGTTGGGGCAAATCCGAAAAAACTAGCCTTAACTTAAATTGGAAAATTAACGAGTACAAGAAAGTCTATGCCATTCTGTAGAACTACCAGTTCCACCATTTATCCTTTTTTGACGAATGTTATAAATACTAAAAACATGTGGTTTACCAAGCAAGCTAAAGCCGCTCCTGTCTGTACATTGTTTTAAGCAAATGAATCCAACAAGTTTATGCATTTAATAATTACTAACTATATTTTTCAAAATGTCTGTTGCTTTGAAGCAGTGTTTGCCTTCAGCATTCTATTAAAAATGTCACATAAGTATATTCATTACATACCTTCTGCTCTCGGAGAACGCTTTGCATCAACTGGCACAAAATTAAGCAGATGAAAACCAAAGAACAAAAGTTGAAAAATATAGTGACTACACTAGAATACTTGTTTCCTACACTTGGCGTCCCTTGGTCGAGTTCATCATTTCCATACTACCCACAAACTGTTGTATATTTGCATCACTGACCTTGACCATCGGATACCAAGGAGAGAGGCAACAAGTGACCACTTTTGAATGAATGCTTCAGTTTCTGTGGTTCTTGAATTTTTCCTGTTATTTGACAAATTGCAAGTATTTTGTTGTTAATTAAATGTTAATGCCATGTGAAAACAGCAAATGCAAGTTGTGAAATGTGACAAAAATATTCAGTGAAAAGTGACGAGATTGTTTGAGTAATATGTGTATTAATATTAATAATGATATTCATGCAAAGAACAAAATTCTAGTATAATTCCCGCTCTATGTACACTTTGGTAATTAGTTTTATCAATTGGTGACCATAAACACTGCAGGTGACACCTGATTAATTAGATCCATGTACTAAAAATATACATGCACCTATGTACCAAAAATAATTTATCAGATCTGATTCAATATTCTCAAAAAATGCCTGAAAACATATTTTACTCTTATTACAATATTCTGATTCAATATTCTCAAAAAAAAGGCCTGAAAACATATTTTACTCTTATTACAATAATACTTTATGCTTATAAAATAAACTTGTTTAAAATAAATTGAATGCTTTTTTATATGAATAAGATCAAATTTATAATTGCTAAAACTTCACAAGCATTTAAGAGAATTTTGTTGAAAAATAAAATAAAGAACAACAGAGTTTTAGGGACTTTTGATAATAAAAAAAAAAGATTTTTTATGGACTTGTTTGATTTAAGGGTCAAGTGCATAAAAAAAGGACCATTTAGGGGCACTATTCTGGCAATCTAAGGGCATCTGATTACAATTCATAAGTAATATTGTCCAAAATGTAATGTAGCAAATCCAAAACAATATTCATGCAGTTCTACTGAAAATATTTGCCGAAGAAAATCTGTATATGGCTCATGCATATGGTGAAACATACTTAGGTTGATTTGCAAACCACAAGAAAATATCTTGCTCACTAGAAAATAAAAGTGTTAAAGATATTCACAAACGAAAAAACATTTTCAAGCAAATTTCTAAACATTAATATATAATTATATTTTATGTATTTTACACTTTCCTCCAGTATAGAATATATTGTACAACATATTGACAGTAAGCCTGACTAGGTTTCCAACATATGTGTACATTTATATAAAAATATTACCTTTCAAAACATTTTCATATTATGAAAATATCTTTTAACATTATTTCTTCAATAGCTGATACAAAACCAACTAACTTTGGTGCACTAAAAATAAAAAGAACACACCCAACAAAAATTGTATCATATACCTCCTTATACCTGATCAAATGTTTCAATACAAATTTTATACAAAACAATTTCAGAGAGAAGAAAAGAAAGAAAAAGAAGAGAATTAAAAATAATGATAATAATAATAATAATAATAATAATAATAATAATAATAATAATAATAATAACAACAATCATAATATACAATTTACAACAGTATCTTTGGAGAATGGTATCACTTATTTTGAGAAGAATGTTGGCGCCCTTTCGAACGTGTACACATAGACGAAGGCTGAGATGTGTGCGACCAACTCGTCCTCCTATGCTGACGATGCACAGGTGATAACCTACCGGACTCTGGAAGTATCAAACGTTCTGATATTTTTGTCTCTCTCTCAGCCTTAGCCGGTCTGTCTGCAGGGTCATTTCGCGACCTTAATGTCCACCTAGATGGAGAAGCAGAAGAATCTGAGCGCAGTGTATGTGGACACCTCGAGTTAGAATTTTCCCCAGATGCAGGAACCAACGGAAGCACTGATTTTCCACACCTGGGGCCAGAATATTTATTAGTAGCATTGTGTTGTAATAATTTATTGCAGGAAGGTGTCTGTGCTGCATTCCACGGTGGCCACGTTACTCTATCGTTTTCCACATCACTCGCGGCAAGGTCTTCATCTTTAATACGATCTTTTGACAGGCAGTCCTGTTCTGAACGAGTTCGCTTTCTTTTTTCAATTGCTGATATAACTGGCTGTGTTATCCCACTACTGTGTCTTCGTTTGAATCCTGATGGCTTTGAAACATAATCAAATCCTGAGATTGGAGACGAGCACAATTTATCTCCACAGCCAGGGGAACTGACATTTTTTATTGAAGACGGGGAAGTGGTCACTGCTGCTGCTGCTGAATTCACCTGGAGACACATCAGTGCCACAGGAGGAGATGAAGACGTCATGGGACTGGCTGGAGAAGGACTCGGATTGCCAGACCTGCTGTCGGAATCGCAATCCCTTGTGTATATAGTTACACCTCCTGAAGGTGTTGCTCCAGCTGGAGACTCGGATAGAGTTCTCAATCTGGGCATCGTTTTATCCACTGCACACTTAGTAGCAAACAAACTTGAAACACTAGAATGCTCAAGGATTTCTTGCTGCTGCTGGCGCTGACTCAACAGGACCTAGAAAGAGAACGATCCATCACACACCCCAAAATGTCATGACATGAGCAAGAAATTTTTTCACAATGAAAATATTTTTCTCCTCATCCATTGTAAGCAAGCTTAATTCCCTTTAAAGTTGGACAAATTTTCCTGAAATCATTTTTTGTGAAAAATATTTAATTTAAAATTTGATATTATAACCCTTGAGGTTATTGTCATCAGTAGGGAGCAGATTTCTATATGGTATATTTTTGCCTGTTGCTTCAGTGCACAGCCATGTGAAACTTCTTGACATATGGTTAGAATATGATGCTATATGGAGTAATATGTTAGTGTATATTTGAGCAAATTTTCCCTGTTGGTGTATATTCATGTAATTATAGGTGCCTATTTCATAAAAATAGAGACTTATCTAAAATAGTTTCATCTTTTCATAATATCTATTTATTTGTTAGCATTCATTGATTTAAAAGAGCTTATCACAGTTTGCTTTCTGTTTTCTATAGATAAAATACTTGTGCAAATGTAGAATATTCCTTGATAACATATGTTTTAAACAAGGCAGAAGAAATTCAACAAGACATACAACATACTTCACTAAGGTGAATATTAACTTCAATTATTTCTCACGCGAAATAGGGTACATATTATCTTTGCACAAAAATATACCTTTTCATTCCAAGTTTCTCCTGAATTTCATCAAGAAAAGTTTGAGAGGAAATGAAATATTAATTTTAGTACCTTACGAAAGAGCACATTTCAGAATTTTTAGGCCATAAATGTATTTTTTTTAAGCATATTTTTATTTTTTTAGGGCATAAATATCCTTTCCCTAGTAATCAGTAACCCCAATCCATATAAAAATATTCACATGGAAATCTAATGTTATAAAAAAACATTAATAAGAATTAAAAGCATCCATATGTACTATGTATAGTATTACGTTCATTGTAGAATTGAAATACACTATTTTTTTCTTCACAAAAATCCGTCTCTGGATGATCATGAGGTTCAATCACCAATCATGAAAACAGGATACTTCAGCATGGTACAATGTTACAATCTCCATTGAAATTTAAAATGTTCTAAAAATTAATTTTGTTACTTAATGGTAGAATCCAAATATTGGTTTCTCTGCTAAGGGCACACGATTATCACAATTATCTGTCAGATCCACACAAATAAGAAAAGAAAAAGGCCTCTTTGTGAGTTTCACATTGAAAAGAAAAATTGGTATGATTGGTTGACCTGTCATGTTCTAAAAAACTTGCAGTGTGAAATTAGAAGAGTTGGTAAACATGACAGGTTGAAATTGAAATATGTCTTTAGAAAACCAACATTTATTTTGGTCACAAGAAAACTTCATACTCTGAAAGCATTAAGAATTCATGGAATAAGATTGGTACTTTTAAAGTGCAAATTTACTTTTTAGAATACAGGAGACTTAGTTCAAAGTGGTTTCACTTACAACAGTTATGGTTAGAAAACGCAAACATTATGTATTAATATGATTAAAAAAACTTAATTAGATAGTGAAAAGTAAGAGATATCTTTTAACCCCTTCAACACGAAGCTTAGGTTGAATGCAGTGGCATTCCATACGAGATAAAAAAAATTTGTAGCACTATTTCAATCCCAATTTTTCTTTTTAATTCATGAAGCATGGGATGCCAAACCCACTTTCGAATACCTTTGCAAAAAGACATACAAAATCTTTGTAAAATTCAGTAGTATATATATTTTTGAAGTACTGTATTTACCTGAATGAAAGTTGACTTTCAATATAAGACAACCCCCTAATTTTGAAAGGGCTTATTGTAAATTTTATGAACAAAGAGTTCATGCAGGTCAATCAGTGCATCATGTAACAAAATCTCTGCAATAATTTTAATTCATGCTCATTTTGCAGTTCACATGATGCAACGCTGTTTGTTTGAGATTCTATTTACTGGCCCATTCAAAAGTACCCTCTAGATCTACTGGAAAATGTGTGGTGGTTGTCGAGAACAAGCCCCTGATTATAATTAGCTGCCATAGATTCATGTGCTATTTTTTGGTGCTTTCACAGTTTCTTGTTATGTCAACATTTATGAATTTAATGACATGTCAAGGCAATGTAAAAACATAAAACCGAACAGACTAGAGTATTTTCTGCATCCATATTTTCCGAATACGATTTCTGGAGGGAAAAAGATATTGTTTTATATTCAGGTAAATACAGTATGTGGCAGTGATACGGAGATTTTCATCTTTGTATTGGCATCAGTATCTAGGTTCAGCTTCTCTTTGTTTTTAATTAAGAGGTTTTTTAATGGTGTACCTACATTCATAAAAAGAATATTAGTAGAGTAGTTGATTATTGTGCAGTTCAAATTAATAAAGCAAATAACTTTCAGTAAGACAAAATTTTCTGATAATTGCAAACAAGAAAATTAGTAATTATCTTAGTTGTAAAATGCCAATGGATTGTGTAACAACTTGCAATATCAATGTTTTCAGTTCTGAATGACAGTATCGGATAGAAAACAATTTTTGGAAAAGTAGAAAATGCTCATTATAGGTGAAAACAACAGGGACAGATGCATTGCAAGTATAGTTGTTCAATTTTGCATTCTGAAGTTTAGAAGGCATACAAACCTGAACGCGAGGGGGTCCTGGAGGGTCCAACATGAGGGTCACCACACTCGTGTTGTCAGCTTGCAGCCCCATAACTCGCCATACTCCTAATGCACGGTCCACCAAACTCTTGGATGGGTTCACCCATGCCTGCGCAAACACACACACATAAATGATAAGAATTTCTCTGCAAATCTTATGACATGTTTTTAATATTAGATCTGCAAACTTTCTCAACAATCCAGAAGCAACAGTGTAAATTTCAATACAATATTTTTTAAAGCTTCTCACCCACCAATTCCTTATGATCTGTACTTTGTTCTGAACAATGCAGTAGATAAATCATTATTTCTGATAATATTCAATGATTCTTGGCCCATTGTAATTATATGCCTAGTGGCTCTGGAGTTTGAGTCAATGAAAATAAAACAAACCCTTTACATTGTCAACACTTCAGCTATTTGGGTTTCATTAGGGCTACAAAATAGATAAACATTTTTTTTATAAACAGGAGTATGTTCAGTGACCGTTTTTTCTTTTGTTGACATTAATAAGTGGCTTACCTGCAGGGTTATAAAAAATACAAGTCGTACATTCTGTGGTTTCCTTATCTCTATGTGGCTACACCTCATATAATGCATAGTTAAAGTAAATTGAGTGTTTAACATTCTACCTTGCTGTGCACCAGCTTCTATTTGCATGTTAAGATTATTATAGTGTTGCCAACATGTCAAACATGAACAGAAGAAATTTTCATTTTTCTGTGTGTTCTAAATACACATATGCTTAATACAGGAAGATACAATTTAAATACAAATTTGTATACATTGTGTTGTAACATACTGTTGCATTAATTTGTCTGCCTCTTGTCCCTCTTTGAGAGATTCATTTTCCATACACATTTTTGACAACATTAGGAGTCAGTATTTTGGCTTCAATAACAACTAGGCTAACATACTATTCTGCAGATGAGCATATTTAAATGTTTTATTTTACCTTAAACTTAATGATAGCATTAAGAATACTAATTTATTGTTGTTTGGAATCGATATTTAAATGAAGTTATAGGCTTCTGCCGCCGTAGTCTAATCTAATGATCTTGGCTGTCCGGGTGACGTAGCGTTGAAGGCAAACCAGCATACCAGCCCTGAAGAAGACCACGATAAGATGGTCGAAACGTCTGCAACACAGCCTCCAATGCTGCACCACCCGGACAACCAAGATCATCAATATCAAAAGTATTGGAAGTACTGGAATCACTTTTATTTATATTGTTATTATTTATAAATTACATTTACGTTCACTGTCCCTACGAAAACTTTAAAATATTTCTCCACGACTAAACATTCCTGACTCAAAGTTTTACTGTAATGTAATGAAAATTAGAAATATTTTTCAGCACATTCCGATGCATTTCAAAATTCTATGGCCGCCCTAGCAAGTCCATGCCAAAACCTATGCAGTTCCGGAGAGATCTGAGGTAATATTTGCAAAAGAAGTTGTAAAAATCTGTGATCCAGATATGGTTCACGGACATAGTACAACCATAGCGTTATGTTTTGTGAGCTACATATGGATCACAAAACAGAGAACATATTAATATTTTGCATTAGATGATTTGATATCTTTCACCAACAGCACAAGTACAATTATTAAGGGTGAATCCTGAAAGGATGTAATAAATAAATCAGAAGTTAAGTTATCTTTTACAGAGAAATGGCAAAAATTTGTAATTTACTGAGCTAAATATAGGAAAGACTCTAACTATAAGATTTTGAAATTATCTGGTCAGTTATACCAGAAAAATGTGATTTCCAGCTTCACAAATCAAACTGGGATAATTTAGACTGTGATGATATAAATGTATTGGGAGTTGAAGTTTTTAATTATTGTGCTACAAGATCAATATTTATATATTGTATCAGGAACACTAAGAAAATTCCTAAGGTCTTACCCTCAAGAGTCAACAAGAAATTAAGTTGGAGGAGACAATGTTGTGGGAATTGTGTTTAATGTATTATCCCAAATATTTAACGTGCCAAATGTAAAAAAAGTAAAAGAAATAACAGATTACTGTGAACATTTTTGATAACTTAAGATACTAATATGGTGCATTCATTTACACTGTAACAGAATAGTATCTTTTCAAATAATAATTAGTTTTAACTTTAGTTTTACTTCTGGCATTTTTTCTTTTACTTTTTATTCATTTTTTCTATCCCGTATACCTACGTATATACAGAGTAACATACATACTGTAGGGAAAGTTATGTAATGGTGTTGAAAATTGATTTCGAGATTTCATCAAAAATATATATTTTGGGAGCCCTTAAAGTGAAAAAGTGGTTCTTTTCAAAACATTCATCTGTGAACACTACTAGCACCTAAACAATGCATAGGATTTTTTCCAAATTGAATGTCCTGTCTTGTCCATCTTGCTCAAGTCAAATCTCTTTGATTTTGAAAAACATTCTTTAACATTTGTGAGTACCTTACATGAAGTCCTCCGGACAATTTCAAAATTTTCTCAAAAACAGCTCTAAATTTTTTCTTTAAGTTTCTTGTAAGAATAGAGTAATATACACTTATAAAAGTGGCATAGGTCCGATTTTCATGGTTAACTCTACATTTTCAAAAGTGTGAATCTTTTTCAGTCTTCCTACAACTACAAAATTAAAGATAGAAATTTTTACTTCAAATGAAATTTGTTGGCCATAAATAGTTCTTTTATTAAGGTCATGTACATTTTTTTGAAAAGTTTAGTTGTTTTCGAGCAATTTGTGAATTATTAAAAATTTACAAAAACAAGATTTTCTAAAAAATGGCTCCATTTTTTTCTCTTCTAACTATTCAAACGGATAGTGCTAATTGCACTCTTTAGTATGCCATAAAGTTCATTTCAGGTTGTTATTTTTTTCTTTTTCTTTTCTTTTCCTTTCTCTTTTTTTTTTTTTTTTTTTTTTTTTTTTTTTTTTTTTTTTTTTTTTTTTTTTTTTTTTTTTTTAATATCTCTCACGCAGTTAATATGCACATCTCCAGGAGTTCATAAACACTGTTGTATGTTTGAGTGGAAGTGCTTGAAATGACCTCAAATTAAGTTTTTCGAAAACTCAAAATTTTTCTGTGCAAAAGAGCTTCAAATATCAAATTTACAGTGGCGCTTAAGTGCTACTTTCTTAAGAATTGCTCCAAATTTTTCAAAAAAAATTGCCATTTAGTGTAAGGTTTTACAGTTACTTAATATTCTGAAAATAATATATTGGTTCTACTATTATGAAACCAAAGATTTAAGAAAATTTTTGAAAAATGTACTTTTGGCAGTAATAGATGGCAGCTGGCAACAGTAAGTGGCATGTTCCTATAGCTAGCTGAGACCAAGGGAAATATAAAACTAATAAGGGAAAGTTTGTACCATTCTGTAGCACCACTAGTTTATGTTTAAAATGAGTGTAAAAAATCGATTATCAAATAATTGAATTATGTAGTTACATAATGAAAGAATTTGCAGGTCTACCCACAGGTACTACCTCCTGAAGAAATCAAACATCCCAGCCACCATTCCAGACTGTTGGCCTGGAATGCCAATTGCGATAAAGATAGGATTATATTTACCCACTTACTACATAGTAATATTTACACATTACCTCGTAAAATTATATTTACCCAATTATTATTTCCATTTGCAATATCTTCACTGCCTGTGTCACTTCCTTGCTGCAGAAGATGTTGCTCATTGCGTGACTCAGCAGTCTGGACTACCAGAACAGCAGCAGAAGGGCTCATTACATTCCATAACCCGTCAGTACCAAAAATCAAGCACCGATGACAACTCACGTCTATGGTATGTACAGAAACCTCTGGTTCTGGCGAAACCACGAAAACATCTAGGGCAGGATTGTAACTCCACAGATCACCTAAGGTCAAATAACAGCATTAATAAATAATTATTTAATTGTACGTAAATTTATTCATTTTTTAAACTAACAGTGAGAACGTCCACAGCAAAAACTGCCCTAAATACCAGATATCAACAAATAGAAACAATTACCCCTCAATACAAATAACATCTGCAAATCATTAGAGGTTAATAAAAAAGTGTTGTTTTCTGGCTGTGTACTCCAGTCTGATTTGTCTCAAAACTTTTCTCCAAAATTTAGTTATGTAAACCATAATTTTTTGTTCTTGTTAATATAAACAACAATTTGAATCTCTTTGGTAAAGGTGAATTCAATGCTGAGAATTATATTTCATAGGCAACAATTTACACAAGTCATAGATATGTGTCAGTACATCCACATGTATTTCAAGATGTTCAATGTTCGTCTGATTGTTGAATTTGTTGGTCTTCATACCTTGACTGTCTCCATAGTATCCAAACCATCACCAACCTGTATTTTCACCCTAAAAAGCCATGTAAATAGATGACTTCTTGATGTTAGTGTGTTCAAATTACAACATTAAATTTCAACTTGTTACACTTCACAAGCAGTCATATCATTGTTTCTTCCTGGCCCTCCTCCCATGTAAGTAGTCATCTGATTTATGGAACCCCTAAAAGTTTTGTGCACTGAACTTCTGATTTTTGTCCTTCATCTGGTGCCACCTCAGAACATTTGTTCACAAAGCCTTATTTTCTTCCTGCTGCTCTCTTGTCTGTGGCCTGCAATTCTTATCCAAGCATTGACTTGAAATTTGCATTGTTTTGTTAATGTGATAAGAGTTGTCAACTATTAACTTGTTCATCTCCATACCTGTTTCAAGGGTAGCATAGTAGAGAGCAGGTTTCCAAGATTCTGAATGTTTTTGCAAAGAAAATAATTTTTAATCATTTTGTCTCTGTGGTTGGATGAAGAACACAAACTTCTTCCAAGGTCAATTCTTTTCAATTTGATCTCTTACAAAACAATAACTTAGTACTCGCCGAGTGTCAAACTGAGAGGGAGTATTACTTCACTAGTCAAACAACACCAAAATATTGGTGATGATTTTTTTATTCATTTCACTTACAATGCCATTAGCTTCAGATTATCTCTTTATCAGCCCATTCAAAAGTATTGATATTACCTATTACAGACACATGTGATCTTTATTGCCTTACAGCCTATCAGCTTATTACATCAGTGATGAAGTTTCTTGACATGGAAAGGTAATTAAAAAATATAGTACATCATAACAATCTTCATCTGCGAGTAACCCCCTATTTTTCAAATGAGATATTCAGGAAAATACAGTAGAAAACTCAGCACCCTATCCCATTATTGCCTTACAGACTTACCTTTTTCACTTTTAAATTAAATCAGGGTGACCACATTTGCTTTCTGGAATTTTTTCCGTTTTCCTGCACATTTCTTTATTTTTATTGTTCAAAATTAGTAGAGCATTTACCTCTTTTTATATAGAATATAAAATGAAAGCATGACTTGAGTTGGTATGAAGTACTGTTTTGAACAAACTTTTTCTCGTAGTTATCTCACTTTCTTTTGTATCATATTGTGAGTCATTACAATTCAAAACACTTTTGGACCTTTTATTTTGTGCTTGTCTGATTTTGGCACGAAAAAGATAAACTCAACAATATTTACTGTACAAATTAAACTGTGCCAAAAATAAAGATGTTATGTAACATTATCAAAAGAAAAACACCAGGTTTTATAATTATCTGAAATTAACTTTTAATGATGCTTCAAAATTCCCTCATATTTCCAGAACGGTGAAATTTGTTGTTTTTTTTCTTCTCCACAGTGTCTACCCTGTAAATCTGATTTACTTTATGTATATAAGTAATTTATTACTATTAATCTAACATTACTCACCAAGAGATCTTGCCACAGCTAGGAAAGGGATTTCATCAATGTGTGTTGATCTCCTGACTGGCCCTTGATGCCCAAGACGAGGTCTATTCCACACAACACGTGATACACCAGATTTTTTGGCCACCTTTCCACCAGCTTGTTCAATTCGTTGGGATTCTTCTTCACTTTCAGGTTTGTGCTCACGAGTTAATGGTATGCCTTTCCATGATTTATCATCTAGAAAACAAGAAATCAAAGTAATATTAGTTTCAAGTGGCATTAACGCGCAATTTGCACAAACACTTTATCCCTTTGTTAAAATTGATCACTATTTTTGTCAAAGCAACGAGATTCAAGCAACAGAACTCTTGTGTTAAATACGTATGTAATTACTTTGAGGCACCAGCGTATTTCCTTACTTACAATTGCTTTTAACACTTAAGAATAATAATGATTTCAAACTGTGACATTTTACTAGTAGATTTTCAAATTTACAATTTAAATATTCAAGTAAAATCTCTACATCATTCCTCCTTATTGTAGAAGTTTTCAATTCTTCCTGTAACATTTCTCAGCAAACAAATGTTGATATTGCAATTTCTCACTAGAGCTCACACCAAGGACTGAACTATTTTCTCCTGTGGATAAAGTTCTACATAAAATCCTTCCCAAATGGACTTACTATTAATTTGCTTTACAATAGTTTGATTGATCATAAATAATAATGCTTTTTACAGGAAAACTTTATTGTCATCTACTTACTTCCTTCTGTCTGAAGATGTTTAGCTTTTCAACTTTTGATAGTAAATTAAGGCATCAAAATCTGTTTTAATAACTAGTCATTTAACAATTACAGCTGTTTTATTACCTTCTTGTGAACCTAATACTATTGCTGAATCTCCTACATGACCAATATAAATCTTCCCTCGGCGGATAAAAGCAATACTTGCAGTTGTACCAGATGTGCTCGGAAAACCAACAGGCGTTTTTGGCCAGCGATCTACAGAACATCCCAATGATTATAAATATTAATGTTTAGCACCAAGCTGAAAATCAAAACATAACCTTTATCACGACATGTTTCTTACAAACCTAACTGACGCCACATGGCCAGATGCGTTTGCAAAAACCCTTCCCGTATTGCCCTTAAAACTTCCGCATCTTTATCAGACCAAAAGCACTTTTGATTCACAATGTTGTCAAGAAGATGCTCCTTGGCGAAAGTTGCAGCTTGTGACCCTCCATGACCGTCGAATATTCCGAAGAAAGCATATTCAAGATCTTTTTCATCCTCTGTTCGTTGGTAAGCAACTGAAAACATGTCTTCCATGTATTTTCTAGAACCTTGACTGCAGTGTCCTGTCACACGCAAATTCACACCAATGCTGGAAGGCATTTTGGGGGCAATAACTGTTTACTTTCACAACGCCAGCACACAGAGCGGGGAAACTCGACAAAGCCCGCGGTTTTCACATTAAACAAATCCACACTTCGTCGAAAAACACTATCAACTTTCTAGCAAAGAAACAATTATTTGCAGATGAGCTTAGATAACTTCCCAAACACAAATGAGGAACAAACCCTTTGTGATCCAGAGTGCGCCATTCACAGATACGGGCTGGTCTAGAGTGGATCAGGTCGTGATGCACGCACCTGCCGCGTATACGCGCGCGAGTAAACAGAGTATACCAGCAGAATCTATGCTTTCGTGTCCTAACACGATTCTGAACCAATTGGTGGTGATGACGTCACATTTTATGTACACATACACACGCATACACAATAAACCTACTTTCTACATTAGCATCATGGAAGTTCCATAGCATTTCTATCAACTCCGTGTCTTACTCTCGAACACACCAAATGAACCATACTCCATGATAGCGCAGTAAAAAGGTTGACGTCTAGTTCCACGAGTTTCAGTCACGTGACTATTTGCTGTCCTAATAATTTTGGCGCGCCAGTTCCGTCCATTCGAAATCTACTTCTTACCAATACTCAGCAATTATACCATCTGTACATCTATTCATCTTCAACACTCTGCCAAAAAGAACCATACTGCTTCAGTGAATATAAGTTTCGAGAGAAGATCAAGAATCTTAACATAATTAAATAAATTAATTCAATAAACTAAGGAAATTTTCCTGAGATTATTTACTATAAAAAATTGATGAATACCTTAAAAACCAGTTAGTCCTTGTGATACTTTCTTTGAAATAAAAATGAACACTGGACATCACAGGACGCTAATTAAACTAAAAATTTATAAGTGAGCTTGCTGTACAATGCTAAACATTAATTACTGGAATAAAGTAATATTGTTTGATGCATACCATATATGAATATTTATGTATTATAATGTTAAATATAATTTTATAATATTTACATATAATCTCATATTGACAATAATAAATGTACAGTAAAACATGTTCAATGCGGAATATCATAGGATCAGTATTTTTTTTTGATATTGCATTGATCAACTTTTGCTGTATTTCCAAAGTGTGTGAATTTAAATGAGTGTGAGAATGTGAACGTTTGTACATAATTGTTCAAAATAATACAACATGTTATTTATTAATATAAGAATGATGGTAAAATAATCTAATTAACTTGTCATACTTTACCAGAAACAATAATCATTGACAAATACATTATTATTATTATTATTATTATTATTATTATTATTATTATTATTATTATTATTATTATTGATCTATTTTTCTTTCATTGTGGATACTATAAATTTCTATTATCTCCAATTTCAAAGAGCTTGTATATTTTAATTTCAGAGTATTTTCCCTCACTATTAGTTCTATCTTATTCTACACATGATAAATACCAAAATTGCAATAAATATAAACATAATTTAAGACTGTTTCGACACTTTTGTTCATCCTAAATAACCCTAAAAATAACAAATTAACTGTTATTATTTAAAAAATAAATAGTAGAAATACTAAAGCTCACATGAAACTATCAAAATATGCAAAACTTACATATTTACTAGCAACACAATTGTGCTTTTAAAATATCTAACAGTTCTACATTTATTTAAGATTTATTATTTCGTGTTTGTGGATGCGTCAATTGCTATGGTCATAGGTCCCGAATGTGTAGGGCATGTTTTTAATCACGCTAGGGGGCTAATCCTTTCGCCTGCAACTCTTAGTGAGATCCGGGGCCGACTTCGGCTTGCGAGGTTTTCCCCAACCAGGTACCTCGCGTCAGCGGGACAAGCTCTAAGCCCCTGACTGGTCTTCTGACATGTGTGATAGTGCAGTATATTTAAGTATATTTGTAAGTAAGGGGTGAGGATAAAGCAAGGTAAGGAAGGAAAGATGACCCGTTTGTTAAGGTATTGTTCCGTCATTCGCCTGGTGGATCGCAGAAACCACGAAAAACTACCTATAGAAAAGCAGCCGGCCGCTAGAATTCTTCTCCAGAAGAGTGCGGCTTAGCTATCTAGGCGAACTGTCGCTTTTTTGTTATAATTTTTTAGGGAACGGAAGAACTTTTATCAGACATGAATTTGTCGCAGTAAAGCGATGGCCTACCATTCTATACTTGGGTTTTTATAACGTGGCACTTCAAGCCCAGTCTTCACGACGGTATATCATGGCATTTCACATCTATTTCAGTCGTGCCGCTTGATATCGTTAGATGACCGAGAAAGACGGGAAATGGCGTGAGATTGTCCATCGTGAAGATAGGGCTTGAAGTGCCACGTTATAAAAACCCTTGTATAATGTGCTGCACTCTGCTGGAAGAAGTAATATTCATGAATGAACCGTTCTCATTCGAGACACGAGGAACAAGCGAACCTCTCGTTCACTAAGAACGTTTCACAAGAGTCATTGAAAGCTGTCAGTGTTTTGCAGGTGTTTTGGGGTGTGGGTGCATCGTTGGAGTTGATTAGTGTATCTGCTCTGCATTTGGCTAGTCGTGTGTTTGTGTCATTCCTGCCGTTATGTAACTTTTTTTGTGACAGTTGTGAGAAGTGCTCCCGATTTTGATTTTTACTGTAAAATTATTATTGACGTTTTTGGTGGGTGATTTAAATAAATGCAATTTAATTTTTAATTATATTTTAAGACATTACTTTCTTAACTAATATGAATATATATACCTTCAATTTCTTATTGAATATCGTGTCTGAATCAAAATTGAAGAAAATATTTGTTGTATATCTATTTCAGTATTTGGAAACAACTCATAAACAGCAATCATGGGTGAAAGAAAGGGAACAAATCTTTACTATCCCCCTGATTATGATCCAAAGAAAGGGGGATTAAATAAATTTTTAGGCACTCATGCTTTGCGTGAAAGAGCTAGAAAATTACATCTTGGAATCCTTATTATTCGATTTGAAATGCCATATAATATATGGTGTGATGGATGTGGCAACCATATAGGAATGGGTGTCCGGTAAGTACAATGTTGTTACTTTTATTCTCATAAACAATCCAGATTGCAAATAACATAATATTTAATTTTCAACTAGGTACAATGCTGAGAAGAAAAAAGTAGGAATGTATTATTCCACTCCAGTGTATCAGTTCCGTATGAAGTGTCATTTATGTGATAATTACTTTGAGATAAAGACTGATCCGGCGGTAAGTTCTTAAAAATTGATTAATACTGTTTGTTTGAATAGTATTAATCAGTATATAGAAATGTATTGTAAGTCAGTTTTGTGCCTTACACAGAAGATGATGTTGGTATAATTGGAGAATATTATTCCAGGGGAAGTGCCAACTGTAACATGCATACACTGTATTAAGTACTGTATTAATGTGGCAATATTAACCTCAATTTTCTGTTATTTTCCATCAAAAATTGTCTTTGCGTTTAATATGCAATAACGGTGATGCATTTTACACATTTGTGAAAGCCATATAGCATAAGTAACAGTTCTTTACTTCTTTAAATTGAGCAAACAACTGTTTTCTTTTTGTTGTGTAACTCTATATTTTATGCACAAAATCAACATTCTTTTATTCTCAATGAATTTTCCAGAATTATAGAACGTGGTATTAAGAATGCTAATAACAGAGCATTTGTAGTCTCGTAAATATACAGAAGAAAAAACATAGTATAGGGAAAATAGTGTAATGCTGTGGAAAATTAATTTTCGAGATTTCAATGGGAATACACCTTTTGAGGACCTGTGAAACTGAGAAAGTATAAGTTTTTTCCAAAATGTTTATCTTCTATCCATTTGAAAACAACACTAGCCTAAACTTCTCATAAAATATTTTCCATTACGAATATTCCTCTGTTGATGAGGCCTGAGACAAAGCCCTGCTATTTTGAAAAGAATTCTTTGAATTTTGTAGTTACTTTACATGAAGGCCAAGGGACGTTTCCAAAATTTTCTCAAAACTGGCTCAAAATTTTTTCTTTAAATTTCTTGTAAGAGAAGGGAATTTACAGAGTAAAATACGTAAAGATGGCATAGGGACAATTTGCACTGTTAACACATTCGATCCTGAGGGATGTGTCCTGTGTCCTGGGCAATATAGCCATTATTCAAAACATAAAACAAAAACTATCTTACATATTAGTTTGAAACTGATAAAATCTTATAGTATTGTCTTTTCTCTTTAAATCTGTATATGTTTTATAATCATTTGATTGTAAGATGGTAGTGAGAATGGAATTCAAAGAAAGACGTGTTGTCAATTTTATGTTTTTAGGGAAAGTAACAAGTACAAAATATGGGGGAAACACTGTGAACTTCATGTGTCGGTAATACTAGTGCACTATAATAATTATATTTTGTTGAAGTTCAGATTTAGTTCCATTTGCATATGTATTTATTTCGGCTTTTCTTTTTTTTTTCCCCCCTGAGATATACTGTGGTAAAAAAAAGATAAAACAAATCTTGTCCAGTTGTCTTTATTTACAGAAAACTTTTCACTGGGTTTCCTTACCAACCTCTTCACTGATTTTTTCACCACTGGTATTTTGGATTTTTAATCAATTTCACAGTATTCCAAACGAAACGAAATCTCTTGAATTTGAGAAGACTCACCAAAAGAATCTTTATTACTCTCCTCAATATAATTTCATTGCTCAAAGTAGACAACAGTCCAGAAAAAAATAGACTTCCTCATCAGAAGAATCCAGTTTCAATCTATTATTCAAAAACCTCTTGATCTTCTAATGTTGAGTTTTAGTGAAGTATACATCTATGTCTTCTAAACATCTGCTAACAGCTCAAACACTACTGTCTAAGAACAACATTCTGAACGCTATCAACAGAACCTAAAAGTATGAATATTCAATCGGTTCCTAGAAAAATTCCAAATACTTGCACAAAATAAAAGCACACATCGTTGTTTGTCCTGCGACCACCTTAATAATATTAAAAAGCGCATTCTAGGTGCCTACGAATTTCCGAAACACATTTATTGCCTGTCAGTAACGATAAATGTAGACGTATGCCATATGTTCATAGGACACAGCAATAAAATGAAGATTACATACCAGATACGTCCATAGAATCAAAAGTCTTTACTTTTTGTAAAAGTTTGAAATTTTTTGGACTCTGAATCAAAACTACATTATTGTAGATATGGATTTTTCCTTCAAATGAAATGTGCTCTTCACAATTAGTTCTTTAATTATTGAGATGTACACTTCTTCATAGTTGTTCTTACTAGCAGTTTTTTGGGCAATTTTGAGTGAAATACGTCAATATTAAAAGTGAAATTTTCTTAAAAATGGCTTTTAATCCTTTTTTTATTTTTTTTCTGATAGCTCTAAATTAACTAAATAACATGACATCAATGTCATTTTGATGTTTTGTTTTGATTTTTTAAACTTACACAAATTTAATATTTTTCAACAATCTCTCACATTCTTATTATTACATATGGGCATTTTGGTACATTGTCACATTTTTTTAATACATGTGTATCAATTGATTTCTTATGAAGTTTCTTGAAAACTCAAGTCTTCTTTGAAAATGTATGCAATCGCGTGTATTTTCAGAATACTGAGCTGTGCTCAAACCACATTTTCTCAAAAGCGACTTAAATATTAATGATTCCTTTATTTTAAGAAAATTAGAGATCTTTTGTATTGATTTCGCATTAATGATAAGTTTGTTGTTAGAAAAGGTTAATTTAAAGCTATAGAATTGAACATATTAATTCCATTTAGTTTATAATTTACTGTTCATTAATTAATGTATTAATTATATTATACCAGTTGTATTTTCTTAATCATTATTATTTCTCTTCCCCTCTTGATGAAAATACTAAGCACACTTATGTGCTCTTTGGGGTACCTAATTTGAGTAATACATATTCTTAAATTGCCCAGAATGACCTTTTTTAATAATTTACAGAACCTTGATTATATTATTGTGTCTGGAGCTAGAAGACAAGAAAACCGTTGGGACCCTACTCAGAACGGGCAAGTTGTTCCTGAAGATAAGAACACACAGAAGAGGTTGTTTGATGATTCCATGTTCAAACTGGAACACGGAGTGAAAGATGAGACAAAAGCAAAAACTGCAACTAGTGCAGCCCGTAGATTGTTGGTTCAGAGAGATCAGCTGTGGCAAGATGACTTCAGTGCAAATTCAGCCTTGAGAGCCAAATTTAGGGTAAGTAATTTAGAACAATTTACTTGTTCAAAAAGCATAGCCATTTTAAAAGCAGAATAAAACCTCGGTTATCAGAATTTTTCATTTGTCTTTAATTCAATTTGTGGACTTGCAGTTCAGAATTTCACTGAGTTTTATAGAAATTAAGAAATGGAAAAATAAAACTACAATGGCTTAAGTATTTGTTTTATATCATATAATATTATTTTTTACTACATTATTATTATTATTATCATCATCATCATCATCATCATCATCATCATCATCTGAAGTTTTCGTGACAGTGTTAAGCAATAATCTTCAAACATTTAAATTTTCTATGAAAAGTTGTTTTTAGAAGATAAAAATTTTATGTTACTTCAAAATGATGTATATAATGCTTTTCAAGATTTTGGTGATGTTTGAAATACAAGTGATTTATAAATTTCAATATCATTATTACATTTTTATGTTCCTGTTACAGATAGTTTGAGCAAATTGTTTAACATTAGTTGTTTTTTTTTTTTTTTTTCAATGAGTAAGGATACTCTTGTAATAATATGTTACCTAGCAGACGAATTAATGCAGAATAACCAAAATCATAACTCATCTCATTTAAGATTTTTAAAAGAGAGTGACTTGAAAACATCCCGAAGAAAGATATGAAAATACTAATGGGAGATATGAATGCAAAAAGGGAGAGGAAAATGAAGGTCTTGAACAAGTAATGGGAACACTTGAACTAGGAGAGAGAAATGAAAATGGAGAGCCTTGTTGAATTCTGTGCGCATAATGACATGGTTATAGGATGAACTATTTTCCCCCATAAAACAAACCATAAAGTCACCTGGATTACCGCAGGTTACAGGGCACAAAATCAAATCATATAGCAACAACCCAGAAATTGCCTCGATGAATGCTATAAAAGAGGATTGGCTGTGACCATCACTTAGTGATGTTTACCTGTAAAAGATAAAAATGGCAAATTAATTACAAAAGAAGTAGTGGCATTAGTACTTTAACAAAGTATATAATGTTCGTGCTACTCCTAACCTATCACTAGGAGTAAATGACCAGGAACAAAGAATTGAAACCCGAAATGAAACAAATGATGAACAGGAAATCGAAGATCAAGCCCCAACAGTAAGAGAGGTAAAAGAAACTCTAAAAACACTGAACAGAGAAATTGTGTATTGACCAGATTAACATTACGAGGATAATTATTGAACAGAATGTAGAATGGAGAAGTCAGATATATATGCGGTTTTTCTTGATTTTTAGAATGCTTTTGATTTGCTAAAACAAAATAGTATATGGACAGTATTAAGGAAACAAGATACCTGAAGTTTTAATTGAGCATATAAAATAATTATATAATAGTTTTGCATGTTGCCTAATGCATGGGCGGAAAATATCAGACAGAATAGAAGTAAAACAGGGCTGTGTCCTGTCTCTTCTCCTATATATTGCAGTTCCGGATGATGTGATGGAAAGAGTAACAACAAAGGAAAGAAGTATTAGATAGGGTTTGACCATCGAGCTAGAATATACTACATAGAGTGGCTGACCCTATGGCTTCAGCGCTCCTGGTGGAAGCTCGCTAAGGGGTTGCTAGGGGTTGCCATGGTTTTTGCAGACAGATCATGATGGTGGCGTGTAGAACAGTTCTAGTGAAATGACATGTCTGTATCAGATCTTATTTCTATATTGTTGTCTTCTTGTTTGTTTGTAATTATATTAATTATTATTCTAATAATATTCACAATGCAATGTATCTTCAGTATATAACTGTAAAAATAGAAGTTAACCAAACTCAAATCATTTTTTAAGTTTTGTCATCTTATTTGTGATCTGTTTATTTGGTTCTCATTGCAATAGCATTCACTTTTAGGCTTTTTGTTAACTACAATAACATTTAAACAGCTTTCATTCCTATGATAATAACTGAAGCAGGAAGCAATGTGTTTTTGAAGTTACTCAATTTGTTCCCCTTACATATTGTAATTTCGTTTTAAATGATTGGATTTCTGTCATGAAACAGAGTAAGAGGATTTATTACATGCGACTCGTGCCCACTTGGCCTTAACCAGCACTAGAGGGGATACTAGAATTCCCTGTTTCTCCAGAGGGCACTGTTTTGACCGCAAAAAACATGGCTTCAATTTGCTGCAAAGATGGAGATGCTTCAGCCACTCTCTGTAGTATATTCTAGCTCATTGGGTTTCACAGGAACATTGAAAGACCTAGAGTATGTCTTCCCTATATATATAAAAAATTATAATTTTAATAGGCAGTATAATAAGCAGGAATATTGCCTTAAAAACAAAACTATTTTCAATTCAAATGTAAAATCTGTGCTTTTATACGGATCAGAAACTTGGAAAATAATGGGGAATAAACACATAAATTACAAGTATTCACAAACCAAAGTCTATGAAGAATCCTAAACATTAGGCAGTCACAAGTAATAACAAATGAACTGCTGAAGAAAGCTGATGAAACATCAATAGCAATGCAAATAAAACTCAGAAAATGAAACTGGATAGGACATACTTGAAGGAAACTCTAAAATTCAATTGAGATAGAAGTACTATGTTGGAACCCACAAGGAAGACAAGGTTGGCCGAGAAAACGGAGGACAGTGGAGGGAGAGATCCGGGAGACTGGTATGACGTGGAAACAATCCTATGGCAGAAAACCGAGTAAGATGGAGATCCTTTGCCAAGGCCCTATGCTCCGAAAAGATCTAAAAAAAGAAGGTTTGATCAGTAATTAAGAAAATACATACAAAATACAAAATTGGGGAAGATATGATCGGTGATTGATTGATGGATTAATTTTTTGTTCAGTACTTGATTTAGTTCTTGTTCCTGAAACATGAACATGTTGCAACCATGTGTGTCCATTTGCGTTTTTAGTGTTATTTTAAAATGTTAAAATTCAATTTTTTTAAATCTTGGTTTTGTAAAAAATCTTTTTATTTAAAAAATAGTGACATCCTATAATACAAGTTTTTGATATCCAGGCCTTGAGAGTTTAAAAACACAAGGTTTAGACACATGTTGTCTACTTTCATGATATATAAGAACATTTTAAACATAATGTTAAGAACAAGGAAAACACAGAGTTTTGGGTGAAACTTGTTACTCCTTTTCAAAAGCTAATATCCCTTCTCTCTTGTTTACAAATGCCGTAATAAGAGCAATAAATATACTAACAAAGTTGATAGAAATCAAATACCACTTAAAAGAAAATCAACATGTGCTATTTTCATGGCATTGTATTGGTCGAACAGATCTTTTATGGAATTGGCCATAAAATACCCAATGCTTAAGAGTGGGAAAGGGGGTTTGAACCTGTATCATCACATAGGGGTTAGGAGTGTTAATTTAGTGTTAAGTAATGTGAATATTTATTTTGTTTAAGATTTCAACATTTGCTGTAATAGTATATTTTTTCAGTGCCATACCAAAATATTAACTAATTTAATTTAAAAGAAATTTTATTTATTGATAAATAAAAAAGGTATTATGAATAAATTGTCACTATAAATGGAAGTATTTTTTCATCAATGTTGTATTGATTGAATCTGTTAGATAACGAAGAAAATATTCAAAAGTGATCTATAGTATGTTCTAGAGTCAAATTAAATTGGTGCAGTACGCTCTTACCCAAGCATCATCAACAATAGCATGTGCACAAGTTTGTTATCGGAAATTTTCTCATCTGCGAGTCCTTACTTCACTCCAATGTTGTTCCCAAGCTCATTATTAGATGGTTAGCAATGCCAACTAACTCTGACTACAGTTATCATGAATTTTAATATCTAGCACAAATAACATTGTTGACATTGTGATATAACTTATTTTTACTCGTAAATGAGGGGAGGGTATTTGCAAGTATTACTAATTATTTTTGGGGGAGGGGGTTCAACTCATTTTAACTCCTCAAGACCTGCATTATCAAAATCTTTGTATCTCATTATTGATATTTTTAGGTTAAGAAGTTAAGTATTATTCATTACCATCCTGTTACAAGTACTGTGTCTTGATGTGCAGGCTACCAAAAAAGCTGCAGTAGCCCAGGAAGCCAAAGACAAGCACACGACCAGCAAGTTTGGCCTTGACATTTCCCTTCTGCCAGAAAACGATGTGGACAGGAAGATGGCCTCTTTGCTGGCTCTGAAACCCAGCAAAAGTGAGTTTTAAAGTAGATTTTTCTAGATTAAATTAGGCCTATTTTATCTGCAATTGTGTATAATATGTTGCTTTAATTTCAATGAAAATCAGCTATATTCAACATATTCAGCATAATAATTGAGGTAAAGGCACCAAAAGCTGACTGGTTATGGCAGAAATTGCTTTCAACTGGCTGGTGTAGTCAAATCAACAGTCTATCTTTTTAGATATACTAGTTGGATTTCTTACAAATTTAAATATATTCCTCTGTAATAAATAATTTAATTTTTCAAGACATTTTCTTTTAGGAAAGAGAAACTAACACTGTGATAAGTCAACTATTCCTGACAGATCAATTGTTACTGGTTCCTAAATTTTTTTTTCCTTGGTGCGCTGAATTTGGCTTTGATAATGCAACCCAAACCCAGTGCACTGAAGTAGTGTCTTTGTAGGTATTTATTTTATGTAGGTAGATAAACATTACTTAAGGATCCTTATATCCCCACTGAAGAGTATTCATGGTTGCAAAGTGTTAGGTGACTGGGAAAGCCATAGTTTGCTGTCATGTGCTGTGGAGTTTGGGCTGTAGGTTCACCACGGTGTCTGGTTATTAGTGGATCAGAATTGAAAAAACAACCGGTTTGAAAAATAATTCATTGAAACTATTATTGTTTGTGAGATACTCATGAAAAGAGGGGCAAAAATCATCAAGAAAGTTGTTTAGGCAAAGGGTGGCTTTTTTTAATGAAAAGACAGTTAAACAAATGTAATTTTTAAGTTGAAATGTTTCAATTTATTGTAAATATATATTTTTGTCGAAAAATATGTTGATAATATAATAGTCAATGAAGACTGTACAAGTGTATTATTACTCTCTCAGTCTCTTTTCTTCACAAATTTTAAAATTGTTATTAGTGTCCAAAAGTGTTTGGCGTAAAATCTTTTCTAATGTATCAGATCTTTAAAATGTACAATTTTTTGAAACAATTGAATAGTTTTTGCTTAATTCCTTCTTTAAGGGGACCTGGAAGACCCTAAAACATATATGTTAAATTCAAGAAACATAATGTTCCAAGCTATAAACACTAGAATATTACATTTTTTACTGTAGTTCCTTGGCTGTATTTTAAATATTTTATATATAATTGAAAAGTAGGACTGGTTGTCTAAGTAGCTTAGTTGATATAGCAGCTTGGCGTAAACCAGAAGGCCCGGTCAGGGCAACCAATTCTTTGAACAAATTTAATTATTTAAATGTTTTATATTAGGATTTTTAAGGAATTTTAATTTTTGTTGTAGATATGAATTTTTAAAAGTGTAGAATATCACATTTTCTATTATTATAATATACAAAATGTATTTGAAAAATAAGATACCATAAAAAGGTTATTTAAAGTTGTTGTTTGATTCGATGAAGAATGCCTAAAATTTTGAAGTCAGCAGCTCTAAAAGTTTAGGAAGGAAAGTTCCTTTTATACCAAAAATAAATTTTCGGGAATCAATCTTCAAAGACTACGATGTATTTGGAGTTCATTCTAGGTCCATACGATGGATTTTCAGAATCATTCAAACTTTACTCTTTTAGTTTCTTTTTCACTGATGTCATAGTGTTCTGTAGTAGTCTGTCTACTCCATTTCACTCCCCTAGTTTCCTTATTTCTCTCATTGTAAAGTACAAAAAGAGATAATTTCACATCAGCAACCAAGTATTGCAAGGTTGATGTGCAGCATATTATTTAATTTTTAAAAAATAGTTAGAAACAATGTTCAGATAAAAGGAATACATCATTGAAAAGGAAAAATATTGAACAATAATAATTCACTAAAAAGTGAAAATAAATAGTTTTTTAAATTTGTTTGCCTTCCAGGTCTCTTTAAGCAATGCAATGTATTAAAAAAACAATTTCTCCATAAGACTCCAAAATTTTTCTTTACGTTTTTTCCATGGATAGCGTAAAGAACACTGAAAAATTGGTTCAGATCTCATATTCGTTAAACTCAGAAATTATACAAATTCTACAAGTATTTTTAAAAAAATTTCCGAGACCTTTTTGAAAAATCAGATTTTAATTGAGAAAAAATCGCTATTATCAATGTTGTACTTTTGATATGTTAATTTTTTGCAATATTTGAAAATCTAAATATTCGCTGAAAATGGAACCAGCATCTATTTTGTTCACTACCCTTTGATGCGTATGAGGAGAAAATTAAAAGAAAAAAAATGGAGCCCTTTTTAATAAAATGTTTGTTTAAAAATTGCATATATTTCACACTAAATTACGTGAAAACTACTCGTATTTTTGAAAAATTGTATCTGACCTTATTTCAAGATCCATCTTTGCACAATTGTAACTTTATACTGTTTTGCTGTTTTATTAATATTAGAACCTCCAGAAAAGTTATATACTTACAATTGCCAAAGCAGTCATTCTGACAGCTACTTATATTCTGTGAAACAAAACACTGTTGCGACATTTACCTTTTTCTTTTTCAATACAGCCTTGTGAAAATCAAAAAGGTAAAGTGTGTAAATGATCAAAAAATTACCAAGAATGAGATGTACATGAATAATAAATAACTAGAATACTTAATTGATTAATTCCATTTTATTTCTCTGTAGTGTTTATTAGCACTTTTGGATTTGTATAGAGCTCAATCTAGTTTCTTGCAATTAATGCAAAGTAAAATTCTTTCATTTTTCATTAAGGTTTGTTTTGCTACTTTCACCTTCACATATCTACATATAGTAATATTACTTTCTATTTTATTTCTCTTGTCAGAACATAAGTACATAAAACAGAACTTTGAAATTGTAAAGAACATATTAAAACTCAAACTCTCATTACCTTGATAAAACAATTTTTAAAAAATTATAAAGAAAAGACTAAATAAAATAAATGTAAACCAAGTAGATAAAGAAAAAGTCAATAGAATAACATTGACCATATCTACACGAAATTACAAATAAAGTAAACAAATGACTTAAAGACAAAATGAAGAGCAACTCTGTGTTTAAAATGAATAATAAATCTCAATAATAGTAAAAAGTCTCTAAGACAAAATTGATATTAAAAACAATGAAAATGTATACAAAATGGAATGCCATGATTGTGATATGAAATACCTAGGACAAACAAAAAGGAAACTACATAAAAGAATAAATGATCATAAGAAAAATATCAAAGATATAAGAGAGAAACAGAACTATTACAAAACATAGAATTGAAGAACAACCTAAAATAAATTTTGATGACATAAAAATTATAGACAAAGAAAAAAGAAAGGTACCAAGATTAATTTCTGGAACAGTATATATTAAATTAAAGAAAACCATGAATACGATAATTGATATGAACCTGATGACATCAAAATACAATACCGTAATTTATGCTCTAAGACAAGACAAACAAAAAAGTTCCTACAAAACACAAAATTGTAGAAACACCACAAGTTGACTGCCAAACCCTTATCTTCCCAGTAAGACACCAGACGTGACCTCTCTCAGTATACAACATGACGTGACTGAAAAAGAATGGCCTCTTGTAAGACATTCAAGTCGAACAAAGCAGTAACACAGCATAGGATATGAAATGCAAACAATACAAATGTGAGCCTGACAATTATATTTTGTACTAAACAAATTTATATACATAATTGTAAAATTAAAGAGTTATTTTGTATATGTTTTTAAACAATTAAAAAAAATATTTAAATGATAAAATGTCAACTTTCGAATTAAATTTATTAAGAACAAATTAATGTTTTTTAAAAGTATTTTATATAAATTAAATATGAACAAATGTTAGTAATGTGTAATTGATTTTTTAATGTACACCTCATGATGGGAAAAAATGAGTTCCCAAAACATTGTTAAAATTATATTAATAAATTACATAAAATAACAATTTTATGACCCATAACTAGCTACCAAATCAAATAAAATAGGACATAATTTTACCATATATACAATTTTTGTTGCTTTTTCATTTTTTCATTTGACACTCTTGGCTTAGTACGTCTGTCACAGATGAGTGACAATTTATTGTTTTTCAATCATTTTGATCCTGTGATCTTTATATCGAAACAAAGAAACCTTAGAATTTATTGGAACTTATTTGTACTCAATGTTTCAGTGAAGAATGGGACTCCTGGTTTCTTCCAACTACAGTTCATCTACTTCTATGTTTCGGCTCATAGAGTACACCATAAAGAAATAAATGCTGTTAAATCTTCTAAACTCAATTTACATGCAATGTTTTATACATCCTTCGGGCTTCTGTTTCACTTCTTTTATTCTTTGCATAAATTTGTCTATAAATAGACACCAAGCACCCAATACACTATCTTTAATATCCCCTTGAAAGTACAGTAGAATCATCTTTATCTTTCAAAATGTTCTTCAGAGCTAACCTACCACCAGTGACATGAAAGTCAGCTATAGTGCACTCTGTTGTGCCATCTTTGCATAAGATGATTGAGTGTGCTTGAGATGCTTGGCAGTTGTGGCAAGATGACCATTGGCCAGTATTCAAGATAACTGCGAGGCAATTATAAGTACTGATGACTCTGAAACTAATTTGTCAAGTATAATGTGGTTGTGTCTATTTAATTTTTGAACTAACCTAAAAAAAATCATAAACACAATAATGTAATAAAAAATTGTCTTTAATGTAGTGTGTTAAAAATGAAAAAAGCCATCAAAATGACTGCTTGGCAGTTCTAGTATTCAAGATAAAATGTTTATCTTTAATATTGCAGTTGTAGGAAGACACTAAAAAATCAAAAACTATTGAAATTTTCAAAAAATCAGGAAGTCCCACAAAAGTTAGACGCATGCTTTTCTTTTACGTGGTAGGTATTTACACTATCTGAGGACAACGTTCAATCAAAAAATTTGGGGTCATATATGAGAAAAGTTGTCTCCATGTAAACTACCCCAAAAATCAAAATCAATCCATTTCAAATTTGCAGATCTTAAAGTTTGTTTAGATCGATCAGAGAAAATTGGCTGAACTGTTTAAGCACTAGCGTTAAGTACACAATAGAGACAGACAAGATATTTTGCCATCAATTAATTTTCCAGTATTAAGCACACTCAAAATGCGGATTCTGACTACACACCATGTTAAAGGAAGTAATTTACTACATATAGGAACAAGATTTATCCAGCTTTTCATTACCAGGGCCCAACAATTTGAGTCTTTGTGTTAAAAAATCGCTGATTTCCAACACATTACAATACTTTGTCATTATTATGTAAGTAAGATGTGAAAGTAAAAATTAAGCAAGTACAATATAACTCTAAGAAGATACTTTCACCCTTAAGAGAAAAAGCCATATTCAGACAAACAAAACAGGAAATCAAATATTAACATGAATATGATAAACACATGTCAACGTGTTGCTTTCTTCACTGACATTGTTTTTCTCCCATTCATTATGATTTTATATTACAGGTATGGCAGAACGAAATATGCAGGCCCGTGAGGATATTCTGAATACACCAGTTCTCCCCAACTCTTCAACAGTCTCTCCCAACGTTATTACAAAACGAAGTCGAATGCTTGAAAATGATGCAGTGTCATTGTTGGGAATAGTTCATCGGAAAAGGCCTCGTTTACAGGCAGAAACACTTACTCAAGCATCGTCAGAGGAGACAGCATCAGAAGTTGCTGATGAAAATGAAATCAAAGATGCAACTCCCCAATCTCCACAACCATCTAAGAATTCGAGTTTATCTCTTGTGTCTGATTGTTATGATTCAAACTCGGATTAAAATGTCCACTGAAAAATTGCTTAAAGATAATTCATATAGCTAATGAATAATACTCTCAGAGGAACTTCTGGAGAAAAAAATAATGTTAAGAAAAATATGATTTTCTTATTACAAAAAGTTTTTAAACCCAGCAGAAAGGTCTGAGGAAATTTAAATGGCTTTTTGTTGCAAGAGTTTGGTAGAAATTATTTCTGCACAACACAAGTCAGTTTATTTAATAGGGCCAAGAAAGACATATCAGCAAACCGATTGTAGGTGAATCTTATACCGTGTTTCAATAATGACAACATTCAAAAAATTTACAGAAACTGTGGCCTCTCTGACACTTGAAACGATCTTTCAATAATATGATAAATTAAAATAGGAAAAAATCTGTTGCACAATTAAGTTGTAAACTTAATTTGTTAATTTTGTTCAGTTTGAAAGTCCTTTGGTCATCATTAAACATGGTCGACAGTCAATAGATTTAATTATAAGAAACAACACTAACATGGCATAGTTTACAGGTGAAAGAAAGGAATCTTCACAAAAAAATAGCAGAATAATCTGTGTTAAATTAAAGAAACTTGAACATTTTTATCTGATTTGGCTTGATTACTCTATGTGAGAAAGCCGAGCACTGAAGGAAGGAGTACCCTTTTAAAAGGGACATTTGCAGTGTAGGGTACAGCAATCTCTCAACCTCTCTACAAGTATATACAAAACCTAATAAAGTGAATACCTGGAGAAAAAAAAAACACTATAAAAAGAAACAAAAGAATTATTTAAAATTTTAACGTGGAAATAAGGCTAGCAAATCTGCATTACCAGTGTTAACATATTTTTTTGGAACATGAAATCTTTATCAAGGAAAATAGATTTTAGGAAAGGAGGATTGTCTTTGGATTTTTGTTGCAACTGTAGATACGAAAGGTGAATTGTTTCTCTAAAGTGCTTTTAAAAAATGGTTTGAGGGAGATCCATTTGTATATTGTGGCAATATATCATTGAATGCAATTATGTTTATGTGAAGGTCTTGAATTGCTTGAGACTTGAATGGATCTGAAGTACAGCACTATGAAATTAAGTATCTGTGATTGCTAAAATATTCTGATGTGTGGTAATTTGATGTGTGGTCATTTATGACAAAAGAATTTGCACCTCGTCAGTGAGGTTGTACTACAATGACAGTGTATCTTGCAGCATTATTGTATTTCCAAGAATCGAAGTGGAATCTTAAAGGTAAGTTAATCAAGATACATTCATATATTATGATTAACTTACCTTTATGATCTCATCACTTCAGTGATCAGAAGTATCTTCTGTGTTTCTGAGTGCCACACATAAATCTCCAGTGGGAATTTACGATTTTTTGCAATCAGTAAATAAACAGCCAAACAAACTCGTGTTAATGGGTAAAAATGACAGGAGGGAAGTTTCTATTAAATGTTCTCTGTCTCTGACTTTGCAATAGCTGCAAAAAAGTGCTTATAATTTGTGATACATAACACTAATGTCATTTGAATTTGCTTGCCTGAAATGTCCCAGAACCTCTTTGCCAGCAGCAATCCAGACATTGCCCTCTTCTAAATTGCAAATTCAGGGCAGCATAGATTGTTGAAAAGTCACTTCACTTTATCAGAAGCCACAGTGCTAGCACCTCCATTGCTGTGGTACACAAGTCCACAATGCTCTCAAGCACTTCCAATAATATCTAGGTGCAGCCTACCTAATTGCCAACCTTCTCTCACTCCCCATAACAGACAGATCATACACCTACATCATGCATTTAATAAAAAGTTGTTTCCTGACATTTTCAGCTATTGAGGGTTTATTGAGTCTCATATTTATTGGTTTTAAAAAATCATAAATGTTTTCATTATAGATTTTTGCTTAGGAACCCCAAACAGAAGATACTTCTCATCATTACATTTAACTCAATTGACTTATTCTACTTCTTTTCTTGAAAAGAAGCTAACTGTCCTTGTGCAAAGGTTATTGTATAACAACTTGGATGATTTGCTTTAAAATATGTTGACATCGCTAATGCAAACTTGCTAGCCTTATTCTTTTCCAATTTAAAATTAACTGCTTTTTCTTTTTGTTGTTGTTGTTGTTTTCGTTTAGGTCCTCACTTTATCAGGTTTATAAATCACTAAATCTGTCGGGGGTTCTATCTTTATATCTTTTACATTGTTACGGAAGATTGAATGCTATTTACAGTGTCAGCTAGGTATAGTGCTGTCAGAGAATTGGAGATGGCCTACACTTTGATCATTTCTACAAAGGAGGTGTTAACAACTCTATACATTCTTAATGTGAATGGAACAATCAACCATCTGCAATCTAGGATGAATGAAGCAAATGACCTCAAAGGCAGTATGAACTTACATTCTTTGCCAAGGTTCCTTTCTTTAGATTGTAAGCTATGTTAGGTCATGCTATTAATATTGTTTCTTATGTTTAAATCTGTTGACTGTCAAACATGATCGTTCGTAACTATGTTGAATGAACCTTCAGACTGAACCAAAATTAAAACATCAAAACTACAATTTAAGGTACTACTACTCCCTTCATTATTATTCCTATTTTAATTCAACCAATGTTTGGTTTGTTAATATGCCTTACTTTTGCCCTGTTAAATAAACTGCAAATTCTGTTGCACACAAATAATTTCTACTGAATTCCCAATATCTGAGCTGTTTTATTTCCCCCAGCTTTTCTACGGGGTTTAAAAAAAAATTTGTTAAGGAAGACCCTTTGAGAATGTCAGAATGAAATGAGATGTTGCTTTAGAGTGATGTTGTATCAAATCAATCAGAAGAAGATTTTCAGTTAAAAATGTTTAAACTTCTATGAAATGTAACCTATTATTTTTGACAATTGTTACCCACTTATATTATGTAAGATTAGTTTCATGAACATATCAGATGTGAAGATGAACTGTTGTTAGAAGTCTCTTTGGAAGGAATATAACTACATATTATAGTACAATATTTTTTGTAAATATTAATTTTATATTTATTGCAAAAGTGTATATATGTTATACATTGTGTTGTTATTGTTTGTTTAAATACATTCATTTGAAAAGAAATGTTTGAGTAATGTGAACCTTGGGAATAATTGGTATTTGCCAAATTCTGAATGTATTAGTACATTGGTATTTTATGTATTGTATATGACCTAATTGTTGCTGCACTCTGTTATTATACCAGAGTTTCAAAGCAGAGATGTCAATAATGCCCAGGCTTTTGAAAAAAATTTCTGGATCCAGCAATCAGGATTTTGTCAAAATTAAAATGATTGCAAAGTTATTGATATCTTGTGCATTGGTTATATTGCTCAGTCAGAAAATGACAAAATTCATTGTTTTAAGAAAAAACTTGAAATGGGAATACAGAAAATAGAAGAACTACGGTCATCATCAGGCAAAAATGAAACTACACTCTGGGATTATTAAGACAATAACAAGTAAGGGAAGAATGAAATAGTAATTTCTGAAGCGACAGTGATTTTTTGTATAAATCTGAGTAAAATGTATGTCAGACATTTTTAGTTTTTTCATAAATATCAGTTAGTAGTCAGGGATCCAGCTGTAGCTGAGCTGATATGAAAATGTGTGTGCAGTAGTTGAGACTACAGTGAGGTTATAGCAACAATTGGAACAAGCTTTTAGAACAAACTCTTCTGGAAGGGCCTAAGTTGTGTCCAAGGTGAAATTTTGTGCTTTTCATACTCAAATGATAATATAAACAATCATAATCCATTACAATGAAACTGTATGTCGAATTCCTTATCTTTTTTATCCTTATATCAACTAAGAGGGCCTTTTGATATTGTGGTGAAATATTTTTTTCAAAACTTTTGTTTTTGCTATTTTCAGTTTTTCTAATGAATGTGAGCTCTCTGGTCAGATGTAGGTATCATAAGGAACATCTTTTATCTGTAAAGTCACTTTTCTTTTCATATTGGTCTCACCGGCTTAGGTGGCTCAGAGCATCAATTGAATCGTGTATTTCAGAAATCCATCAAACGCCAAAATCTAATAGACGCATTAGCGGCAGATTATTGTTCCAAGAGGATAGACACACAGTTTAGTGCATATTTATATGAAAACTATTAATTTATCAACTGCTTTAATATATACAAATATTTTGAAATCAGATAAATCGGGAGGCTTTTTCTCGGAATGAGGAATTTGGAAGGTTTGCGGGTTTGACGGGTTTCTGAAATAAAGGATTCAATTGATGTCACATCTCTGACTGAGAGGTCATGGGGTTCAAGACCAGATAGTGGTAGGATTTTTGACTAGCTAAATAGCGAGGCTGAATTCAGGTGCTGTTTTGAGAATTCCAGAAGCTGGTTGCCCTGATTAGTAGTATTCCTCTGGCTGTTTTTTTCTATCAACACGAGGTGAATGCTGCAGCAGTACTGTAATAAAACAGGCCATGGACCACATCCAATCTTTTCCTTATCCTATCCTCACCTTTTACTTACACACACGCACATGCACAACACTTCAACACATGTTGAAAACTTAATGTTGGTCCTAGCTGGGCAGTGCCCCTCTGATAGATACCTGGTTGGGGAAAAGCCTGGAAGATGGCGTGCAGATGGCACCAGAACTCACCATCCAGGAGGGAAGGCCTCTGCCACCTCCTGCAACAAAAATATGCACAGCACTTATGGGATTAACGACTTAAGCAGTTGATTTCCCAGGAAATATTAATCTGTCAGTCAATTATATTAATCTTATTGAGGGGATAGAAAGTAAAATGCCAAGTTGTGATGCTCTTCTGCATTTCCTTGCATGAAAAAATAAATTGTGCCCTAAATTACATTGCCATTGTTCGTTCTGATTTCGTAGCCTAAGTCAGTGTTATTAATAATTATCAATAATAATACAATTCTGATAAATATTATGTTGAGGTGATTATTATTGTACTTACGGTGAAATTTCTTCAACCTCTCCCCACGTTTTATACTTGTAAAAATGTAAAAAAATTACAAATCCAGATTCTGTATCATTGAGCACTTATGTTTTAACAATAATTTTACCTTTTAGCACATTTTGATATAATTTGTTTTGTGATGTGAAGAAACATTATGCACATAAATGTTACAGATACACACAATGAAGGGAAGAGAAACTATTTTTTCTAGGAATACATTTATGCAGTGAATTTGAAATTATAAATTGCATGTGTGTAGTACACAAGTTGAGTGTCAATACCGTACGGCCTTAATTTTTACAGCAAGGGGTGCAGGGAGATCAAAGGAACTCAAACCTTAACAAATGTACCAATTATATACATCTCTGCTGAAAGTTTTAACATCTGCTTTGGGAATCTTACAATCTTCGCAAATTAGTAAGGCATTGGTTAAATTGGATTGCCAAAGAGGTGAGGAAGAAAATCAACATGAAAAATCATAGAATATGCATTGAGTTGTTAGAGTTGAAAATGTGAACAATATGTATTATTGTTGTTTCACATACCCTAAAAGAGTTCTTGTTAGTTTGCATCTTTCTTTAGCTCGTGGTAATTTTTCAATTATTGTCTATTCAGAGGTTTTTCAATTTGTAGGTTTGTAATTATTAGTAAACAATAATTTTAAAGTTTTATAAATTTAATGGTTACAAAATTTGGTAATGGTAGTGGATAGGCTGGACACATCCCATGTGGTAGATATAGAAATAAAATAGACTATATCCTGGGAAATCGTTGATGGAAGTCCTCCATAACACCTGAAGAAGACTAGATCAGACCACGAATTATTAGTGATGAGTTTTAGTAAGGCTGAAAACAACAAAGAAGAGTGAAAAACCTAAGCTTAAGTATGATGTGCAAAATATTCCATACACATATAAAGAAGCCATCAGAAGGAGAGTGAGGGAAAGAAATAGTACACTCGTAAGCAGTATGTGAATCTAAAGAGTATATTCATCGAAGCGGCAGAAAAGCACATACAAAAAACAAAAATGGAACAAATCAAGTTAGCTGACAATTGAAACCATCACAATTGCAGAAGAAAGAAGGGCTGCAAAGCAGTCAGGAGATTGGAGAAAGGTACAAGAGCTTCAAAGAATATTTCAATAAAAAGCAAGAAAAGATAAAGCAAAATTTATAAATCATAAATGTAGGGGAGCAGAAGAATATAACCTAAGATCTAGACTAAAAGATATGTTTCAGTATGGACAGTATTCAGATATGGACAGTAACATTCTCACTTCCAGGCAATATGTAGTTAAAAGAGTGGGGAGGGGGAGAACATACTCTGCAGCTTCATAAGAGGGATCTCAATATTGACAGGCATTTCATTGCAAGAAGTTATAAGGAGGAACTCATGTGGGCACTTAAACAGTTGAATGGGAAATCTTCTGGGAATGATAATATATCCATTGAAATAATCAAAAAAGCAGGTAACTCAATTATAGGAAAGATTTTAGATCTTTGCAATGTGATATCTGGGGAGGTAAGAATGGCAAAGAAAGAAAAAGAAAAAAAAATCATTTAACTACACACAAAAAATGAGACAATAAAGATTGTGCTGGCAATAGAATAATAGCACTGGTAGGTTGTGTAAGTAAATACTGCTTAAAACAAACAAAAGACTTGAACCTTTTATGGAAAGAGCACTTTCAATAGAATAAACTGGGTTCAGAAAGGATAGGGGGACTAGAAACCAAATAAATACTAGATTGATAATCGAAGAGAGCAGTGAATTCCATTGAAACCTGTTTTTATGTTTTGGGGACAATTCTAAAATTTTTGACTGTTTGGATAAACTATTATTGATTATCTTAACAAACATGGGCATACTAGGCCTATAGTAATTTTATTCATACAGATCAGGAAGCAAAAGTTAAAACAATAGAAGGAAGTTCTGAATGGTTTAAAGTCAATCAGGGAGTCAGACAAGAATGTATCTTCTCTTCAGGTCTATTTACCTTATACACTGAAATGTCATGAGGAAAGTGAAACTGGATGACATGAAATTAGGTGTAAGAATTAGAGGAAGCCAAATCAGTAATATTTGTTATGCAAATGATTCTACAATAATGGCTGAAAGTAAGAAAGGTCTAGAGCAGTTATTACAGAAAGTGATAAAAGAAAGTCAGAAATCAGGGCTGAAGCCGAACCTAAAAATAACTATCGTAATGATAATAGGACACAAAGAGAGAATACAGATAAATTGTGAACAGTTAAAATCAGCAAATAAAGTGAAGTTTTGGGGAGTAAATGTAACAAAAGATGGACACTACACTCAAGAGATAAGAAATATAATTATTTTGGAAAAGGCAGTCATGAAAAAATGCAAAAAGTTCATCAAAGACTCAGGGTTATCAATGAAGACTAAAGTCAAACTAATACAAACTGTTAGGTTACATTTCCTGTTGTAGTTTATGAATGTGATGGTTGGGCTTTAAGATCCAGTGATAGAAGAAAAATAGATGCCTTTGAATTGTGATGCTGGAGGAAACTGCTGAATATCCATTGGACAGATAAAAGAACAAATAAATCCATATTAGAAAAATGGAAGCTTGAATGCTCATTAGAATCCAGTGCCCTCAAACAAAATCTCTCATTCTTTGGTTATATTGCATGAAGATTGGGCTCCTTGGAGAAAGACATGATGCTAGGAATGAATAATGGACGAAACTCAAAAACAGGAAAGACAAATAATGGGATGGCATGAAGAAATCAAGAAAGCACCTCACATGAACTGCAGCAATGAATAAAGTGCAAGACAAAATAGGATGGAGAAAACGTGGAAAGAAGGAAATTGAGTAAGGATTAAGGAAAGAATCATATTGAAAGAGACATTTTAAAGGAGAGGCTGGCAACCAACTGCATTGAATATCCTCTTAAGATCACCGAGGGTTGCATAAGATTTGTGTGTTACTGCTGCTATTAGTTGACACAACTTACAATATTGACTTTACATCACGTAACAGAAATGAAATGATTTGAAGTATTTTAAAAAATAGTATATTGTAATACAAATATGAAGATGAGTTCATTGCAATCAATGTGTGAGATGACTTGCTTTCCAGACAAAGAGAGCAAGGGATGCATATTGCATGAGATTAGAGACATGCAAGTTTTTACATGTGTTGCATAGGTACTATTTTTTTATCTCGATAAATTTAAACACAATTGTGTAAGCAAAATTATCTGATTTCTTAAAAATTGATTCACTTCTCTACTGTCAGAGCTTCAGATGTGACGCAACTGATACAAGCTCAATGAAAGGTTTTAACTCAAAAAGTTGATCAGTGGAGCCATTCCTATTGACACAAGAGTTAAAAATATGCACTAAGCTCTTAAGAAGTTAATGCATTTTGATCTGTTGTTCCACAAGTTTTTATAACAATAAATAAAAATAATTTGCTGCATGGACTTTGTTTGTGTTGAATAAATCTTTTGATGATTGATCAGATTGGTAATAGTTGCATTCAGTGGTTTGCTTCTTTGTTTTTCTCACGTATAGGCCAACTTGGAACATGTGTGCATCCTGCTTCAGCAAGTGCAAGAACCATTCAGGGGGTATCAGCATTTTAGCTGAAACCACCTAGGTTGTTAACCCTGGGGGTTTGGACGATGAGATGAAGATGATGATGATAGTGAGGAACGAAAGGACAGCACACACATACACAAATGCACCCATGCCCAAGGTGGGGCTCGAACCCACGGTCTTCTGGTCCAAGATTGCTACGACACTACTGCCCTAAAGATCTCAGCCAGTGGTGTGCTTTGTGGGAAAAAAATCAAGGAAATTTAGTGATAGAAATTCATTTTAAAATTGCTTTCAACTGACAAAGGCAGCAAATTTGTTTACATTAAGTCACTGTTCTTGATGAAATGATTCAATTTCAAAAAATTATTTGGAGACAAAGCTGTTAAATATGCAATTTTATGAAAACTCACTGCTTAACTACTCATTTTTTTCAATGTTCGTGCCTAAATTTATTTAGGCAAATTGCTATCCTTTTAGTGTAAATTTCAGTTGTTTTAGAATTGATCAAATCATTCATTGGCACATTACTGATGTGTGAAACTATGACTCTGTTTAGATCCTAGACTTAATAAAATTCCATGTCTTCAGAAGAATTTGTTTTTTCCTCTTTTCTGCATTATCTCTTTCATGTTAGGAGAGATCCATGCCTAGTAATTGTGCATTTCTTGATCTTCCTTCAGAATGAGTCAAATTCTTCATACCTGGGGTCTAAACAGACCCTGTGATATTTTTGTTATTATGTGCAGTAATTTCATCTTAAATTTTTTTCTTATACTTTGAGGCTCTACCTTGTCCAGAGGAAAATTTCAATAATGTGCCACTGTACTAAAGGGTGGTACAGCACTAATTGTAGTCTCATAGTCGTGCATAGCAGTTTTAGGAAAATATAGTTTTATGACACTTGTTGAGGGATGATGATTTGTGCACATGTGCTTTACAACACCAGTGCAAAAGTGATATTTTAGATTATGATATTAGTATGAAAAAGTGTTAACATGCATAATAAGAATAATAAATAGCCACCTTGAACCATATTTTTAACAGGGTTTGAGTGAACTTATCTTGATCTTAATCTTGCTTGCTTTAAAGTGTTCAACACATGTCGTATGTTTGTACGCTTCCATGCTGGTGTCATTTGATACTTGGGGGCCGCGGCTCAGTCAATTGAGCTTGCATTTTGGCCTTCTTCAGCAGTATAGCTCTGAAGAAGGCTAAAACACGATGGCTGAAACGTCAACTCAATCGACTGAAATCTGGCTCACCTTGGACAGCCAAGTATCCTTCACATGTGATAGTTTTATCTATATGGTCAAACAGAGTCTGTGGCAACAACCTGTGAGGAAACTAATAGATGCATGTTTGCTTCTCATTTTCTTTAAGATACTTTTTTGTGGTTCTTGGTATTCTGAAGGTTTGTGTGCATATCCATTTTGGATACAGTTCTCTACTGGACAGGGCAGCCAAGAGAATATCCAGGCTTGGTTACAAAGATATGTTAGTCATACAGAATTCTATAGGCATGTATATTATTATTTCTTACAATTGATTATATTCATATATTTAGATAAGTATACCCTTTGGTGCTGGACAGTTCACAACGATTCTGTTTGCTTCCCTGGGTTTGCAGTGTTTTAGAACATACACATTGTGATCCAAGTTGCTTTCAATTTAAAAAATATATTAATTTACACAACTAAAAAAGAAAGTCAATAAAAATTAAACAATTTAAATAAATTTTAAAATTAAAATGTTAGAGCCACGTTGCATTTGGGCCTTGGAGTGATGTACTACCTGCACCCCACTCTCCTTGCGTGTGTGGTGACACATCCCCACTAAAACAGATGCACACACTCGACTGGGCAAAAGCAAGCCAATGAGATGGAAGGCAATGCCAAACAGCTGTCAAGCTAAGATCAGTAGAATCTTTAGCTCACGGGGACAAACCTGGGCATAATTAGACATACCATGTTAGGGGGTATTGAAAGTCACATTTTCAAGGTTCTGAGACTATTCAATTTTAAAGTTATAAACCCTTTATTGATGATATTTAATAAACTATGAAAAAAATAATTGTTACCAAAAACAATACTGATGTTATATCAATGCTTTTATTGTGTCATAATTTTAATTTTTTACAAAGAAGTAAAGATAACAATGACCCTATTATAAATACAAAAAAAAATTGGAATATTCATGAAAGTCCATCTGATTTTTATTTCTTAACAAATATATTGAAACTTTAGACTCACAGAAAACAACAAAAAAGAAAATTTTAAAATTACCAAAGGTTTTGTAGAGTAATGGAAAGTTCCTTTATCTTGTATGTGATTGCATCTTCTTATCGAGTAGATCATTTCTTCTTTGCACTTTCAGTTAATTCAGGACTGTTCTTTAGATCCATTTTACCCACTTACACTTAATTTCAAGCAATATGGAGAACAAAGAAAATTAATAATCAGTTTACCAACTGATTAAACACTAAATCTTACAAAAAAATGCATGGACACTTATCAGTTTTTCATAAAATACTGGGACTCCTGTTTTTCATTTTCTCACATACTTATTTCCAATTGCGAATATCTTTGGACTTATCATGTTTTATGTGATTCTGACGATACCAAAAGAAACTTAATCTATTGATCTAACAGATGACGTCCTGATCTAGAATTCATAAAAATTGGACTTCATTACTCTTTCCATGTCTTCATATATTTCTGCAGATAAGGTGAGATATATATTTACGGATAGTTTTATCATGTATCAGTTTTATAAGATGACCCAAACTATCAACTGCCTATGAACTTAGTTTAGATCAGTAATAATTTCTTGCAACTGGCAAATATTTACCCTCATTAGGGCATTGTTGTGGTATGTTGTTCTGATAAAGGAAAAGCTTCCTTCAGCATTATTCCATTTTTGCCTGCATGTGTCAAATCACAAACTCACATGAACTACCGCTCAAGAAAATTGATTTGGTAAGTAGACTGGGACCTAAATGACGAACTTCTCAAAAACATAAATTATGATGTACATCAGGAACTATTTGTTTCAGATGATGCTTGTGAGAATTTTAAAATTTTATTTATCATGTAGCATATTTTTTCTGTAAGACAGCACAATGGCTCTAGCTCTGATGCCAGATACAGCCATGGTCACATCTCCCTAGTAAAATGTATAAGTTGAGATGTAAGATGATGGTATTATAAGTAGTGAGCATGAGGATGCATTGGTGGCATTGGAGGTAGAGAAAATAAGAGAACTGTTGGAAAACCTGCTGGAAACCCTCTTTGTTCACCACAAATTTAACTTTGTTTTCATGGTGATTAAAGCCTGGCCCTAAAGATGGAAGGCAAGCACTCAAAACTGTCACAAGGCCTGTGACACACAAGCGTTGTATTGACATGCATTGTAGATTAACATTATCTTATGCTAAACTGCATAAGAGCACTCTTGTCTGCTCCACATAAAGTTGTTTTAATCTACAATACGCATCAAAACAATGTTCTTGTGACACGGGCCTAATAATCACATATGCTGTATGGCCTCTTAAAACTCCCAAAAATACTGTATTTGCAATGGATATTGTGCATTATTACAGTGGAATCTTGTTGGCAGGTTTTACTGCCTAGCATGTGTGTCATTAAGTTCTGGTTCCAATTTCATTAAATTACTCATTTACATGTTTAACAATCATGCTAAGCAGGTTTGAAGTTTCTCCATAACATTTTCTGCAATTCAAGAGATTTTCAGTTCTGCAGCACCATCTTTGATGTGTGTTAGTGAGCAATTGAGGGTATCAGATAGTACAAAGAGATACTTCCAGATAGTATTCAGGATATTTTTGGTCTGATTACGAACCCAGTACCACAGAAAAGTATTCTACTGCATTTGGAAGACCAAGGATGACAGTCTTCCCCACCTATTAAGTTGCTTTATTTTTACAGTTTTTATTTGTGTGTAATTTTGCTATTATTTGGGGATTGTTTGCAATAACATTAGTTTATGTCATGTGTAAATTAGTTTCTATTCCCTATTAAGATTGTGAAGGAAATGTGAAAATGGTAAAAAATAAGCATTTTTTGATGTTTTCATGCTAAAGGTATTAAACATTTTTTTTACTTAAAAACTGTGCTAACCCAATTGCAGTGTATTTCAGAGCAGTTTTTGATACATCTGAAACTTACAAGTGAAATTGCACATTTTATGTTTCATCCTAACCTGAACAGTGATCTCTACTTGTTTAAGTGTTCATCAAGTCAAAAACACATAAAATTAAGTTCACATTTATGGTAGCTAAAGCCAAATTTATCATTCATTCACATCTTTATTAGAGGTTAACTTTTAACAGTGGTGATATTCAACAAGAAATAAATGAGAATTTCATAAGTGGAACATCCTGCTTTGCTCAGTAAGTTATGTTCTATGAATTCTTTTTAATCCTTTCATTCCTCTAATGATTCAATTCACTTATAAAGTTCTGAATTTTCATTTTATTTGGTTCTTTTTCACAATTTCAAAACAAAGCTCTTCATAGTTCTTTACAAATCCAGAATATTAGTTGTATATTGGATGTAGGAAACTATTAGGAAATTGGACTCTCAATTATTAATTTCAGGAGACAAACTACCATAGTGAACAGATTTATTAACACAAAAGAAGTCTAAATTATATTCATTTTCATAAAAATATATTACAAAGTTTTAAAATCACTGCGTATAATGCAAAAACAAAAATGCGATTTTTGCCTTATATTTTTCTCCAATTGATAATACTGCCTCTTGCTGCGATGTTGATGCAAAGTATTTGTTCTCTTGGATAACAACAATTATTTAAACATGTCCATAAGCACATGTACAAAAAAAAATTGTAATTGGATACATAATTTCTGCTTGAGATTGAAGATTCAACTGAATCATCCCATGTTCTTCACTCAACAAAAACGTACAAAAAATTCTTAATCATTTTCACATCAATTTTATTTGGAATAAGGTGCCACCGAAAATATTTTTTGGCTTTCCATAGATGATGGATGTACTGAGCTCGGTCTAATGGCGACGTCGAGCGCAACCTGGTCGTCACTTTTCCTTCTTGGCCTCTTTCTTTGTTTCTGTTGCATCCACAGCTTTCTCCGAAGGGTGGTCTTCATATCTGAAACAGAGATGGCATTTAATTTAAGCCTACAGATTAAGTTTCACAATCAAAAGGTTTTTGTCATTTATATACTATGCACAACATAAAATTAAACACTATCATGAAACAAACTATTACTTATACTACTTACTGAAACATTGCCTTTATATCACCCTTTATAAGAGCAAGACCCAATGGTGTGCCAAGACAAGCTGGAACTAAGTACAACAATGCCGGTTGTGCGTGTTTAAAAACGTGCATGACAAAGATCGTAGCCATAAGCCCCAAAAAGTAGGCTGCGAATGTCACATAAAAGTATGTGTTGGAATTCCTCTTGAGGCTGAAACAACAAGCAACATCCATCAATTTTCTATTAATTTGTCACTGATCATAATAGCTATTCATAGATTAAAATAAATATAACATTGATCGAAAACTATTTTGAATTCCTTCATTTCTTGCCTGCTTCCTTCTTACCTGCTCTCTCAGGCAAGTTTAGTTTTGTATGACAATCAGGTACTTTGATGAGCATGAATTGCACCAAGACCCTTCAAAACTCAGTCTATATGAAAGATAGGTTCGTGTAAACCTATACTGTGCACCTTTCGCAGCAATATTATTGTAAGCATTTGTATTTTTTGAGCCAAATATTTCAAAAATGATAAAACCACCCTAAATATTGATGAAATATGTCATTGAGAAAAGGAAATAATATTTACTATAATATTATAATAGCTTTAACCCTCTATTTTTGTAAAAATAAGAAAATGCCAGTCGGCTAAGCGTATTACCCAGAGGAGTAGACGGGAAAGATAATGCTTTTTTTTTGCGTTTGCGTCACAGATTATTCTGAATTAATACCATGAGAGAAATAAGTCTAAATAAGACATTGCAATTCAAAACACTTAGTGCCTCTCATTATACTATTTGCGAGATCATTGATTTAGTTGGGGGGGGAAATAGAAGATGAAACCGAGTGTTAAAAATTTGTGCCAAAAATTACGATCTAACAAAGCTAACTTACAAATTATAGTTTTGTTATTTTGCATTTCTGTACCTGTTATCGAAGCGAAGAAGAAGAGCAATGAATATGCCTGGAACGACAATATCTCCAAGACCCAACATAGCAAAATTATTTGCAGCAAGCCCTTGCTCCAGGAGATCTTGAGGGAAAACCACTGAACAGAAACACCCAACATTACATACACACTATATATGAAATTGAGTGGGTACTACACAATGCTAAAATGATAAATTATGTTAGAAAATATTATCATTGATTTAATCTCAGAGTTTGAATATAAGCATTCACAGTTCTGTAACATGTAACAATTGTATGTTACGGGTATTATTGTAACAGGTACATTATTGTTCTAATGTGGTTAGCGAAACAGTAACAAACCTGTTTTTATAAGTAAAGATTTATGTAGGTCCAGTCATTTCTCAGATCCTGTTAACTCATCTTGCTGCTTTTAACACATTTATAGATAAAATAATATGTTTATACAATGTTTGGACCATAACTCTTGTTTTTGATGGAAATTCTTTATTTTGGTTGCTGAGAAAGATCCCTTCTATTGGCAACTGAATGTCGAATAAGTAATTTAATATCAATATAAAACTAAGCTGAAATGAACCTAAACCCAAAAGAGAGCATCTCTCTTACATACTTGGGCTTTAACTGAATTAAAGTACCCCGTATTTGTTTTCATAACATCAGAACACAATGCTCAAATGGATAAAACAGGACTCTGGTAATTTATGTTTAATTTGTATGAAAAGATATTTACAATAAACTGTTGATTCACTATTTTGGGTATAAAACCAGAATCGACTGTGTGTGTGTGTTAAAAGATAGAAGTGAATATTTTCAGAATAAATTAAAAATCTGATTGAGCCAAAGGATTGTCTCTTTGGGATTCATTACTCACATTTTATGGGGGCTTCAAATGATCTTGCAACAGTCACCATAACATTTGTACCGAAGACCCAGAAGATGTCGTAAACAAACAAACCACACAATAAAATGCATCCAGTTACCACATTGTTTAAGTGCAGAAGTTCTACTCCATTAATGGCAAATGCGATTCCAAAGAGGTTGTTGGCAATCCAGTGCTGTAAATGTAACATTTTTGTAATAAAAAATGTAATAACTAAGAATCTATTCTGATCCTAGGTTTAAGTTCATGACACAAATGTTCATCATTTATTAAATATTAAGTAACATTCTACTTAGTTTGTGGACAGACGTTTTTCACAAAATTGACATTATTAGGGTCCTGTATTTAAAATGAACCATTCGTTTCTATTGCAGTTGAAAGCCCATGATTATCTGAATGTGATGCGAGTTGTCCATCTGATCTACCTATTATGTGCTGCCTTCCTGTGGTAATAATCCCAGACTCAAACTACCAAAGCAATCAGCTTTACTACAATTCTTTCTTGAGCTAATGAGAATGGCATTGCAAGTGAAGTAGCTGACCTGTGCTACATGGTCTAAAAAGTCAAATTTCTACTATACAAACCCACAACACATTAGAATTCAAAGACCCTGCATTTAGAAACTGAATAGTGTGTAATTAGATCTTTATGGTAATTAGTAGTATGGTAGTTATTAGTAACAACAGGTTTTGGAGGGAAATAAAAAATAACTGAAAGAGGTAAAAGCTTTTTATATTACAGGGTGGGAATAGTGGGAAATTTTGTTAAATGCCCAATCACTTCCTAAAATGGCAAGAAAAATGCAGATTAAACACATGACATAATATAAATTTATCCTAAGATTATACCATGCTATCCCCATCACATCATAATTAGCATATTATAACAAACACAATAATTAGGGATTTGAATCATCAGATAGTTAACAGTTGAGCACTTCACAATCTTTGCATTTTTCTGCATATGCAGCTGACATTTAACAAACACTTTCAAGTAAAGCAATTTTGAGCAAGGAGCAAAATAGCTTAAATTAGGTATACATTCTACGTTTTAGTTTTTTTATTCAATTCAAGAAATTTTCAACATGCATTTGAATAACAAATATTATAATACTTTATAATAGATATAATGTATTATTCTTCATCATCATCATCTACATTCCATGAAACAATATTTTACGATGAAATTAAATCTTTTTTAACCCTGAGATGAATCTCTCAGACTCACAATATTATTAAGAACTCTATGAATTTTCATTTGGATCTACATTATATTCCTTTTCCTATTCTTCAAATACGTTATTCCACATATTTTAGGCTAATCGATACTTTTCAGCACCATCTCTGATACAAATAAATGGTACAATAGACTTTAGTGACATACACACAACAAATTATTCAGTAACCTTGATCAACCACCCCGCCTAATTAAAGACTTAATGTATATGTAGGAAATTACAATGAACGATTTGTGTGTTTCAGGACATTACTTTCTCGATAATCACAGAAGGAAACACTGGGCTGACGACCAGTAGTAATCATATAGCTGGAAAAATTCTGTTTAAAAGAAGGGAAAGGTTTTCCTGCTTAGAAAAGATACTTTCAAGAAGGTAGCAACATACCAGTTGGGAGTGTATACGCGTACTTGAAATGTTCTGATCAATGAAACATGTCTAAAAGAATGTTTGCAGAAATACTAACTTATTTGCTTGCGAATAACTGTGTGATGGAAAACTTAAGTTGTGACGATTATGATTTTGAACAAGAAACTGAAAATTGCAGTGTCACAGGAAAGTATTGAAGTTTTAAGGAAGATTATAGGCATGTTTAGAAAACATTATTTTTATGAATTAAAATGCTTTAGAGAAGGACATAAATCCTCCAGCATTGAGCAAAATGTAATATGTATTATTAATTCGGTCTATTTTTCAAATAGGGTAAGGTTGTCACCATCAATTATTACCGAAACTACTGTGAAAGCTTTTGAATTTTTCATTACTATTGATATTATTGATGAAATTGTGAAATATTCACTTTTTGAAACATTGAAAAATGCAGAAAATGTTTGAAATTATGAAAACCAATTAATTGTTTTGATTTCTTTGTACGTAGGGTGGTAAGTATGCATTCTACATCAAACTGGAAGAATAAAAGTTTCCATTATATTTTTTTATTTTATTAGAGAGTAATTTAAAGACGTTATGAGGCTCATTTTTTCTCAAGATGCTTTCAGAAAGGTTACTAGGCGTAAATGTCCGCACAATTAAATGAAGTTGACTGCGAGTCTTTTGGATACATGTTGGGTGTGTATGCTGAGCAAGTACCTTGGTGGTTCTGGGTTAATTGTGGTAAATTCAGTTCATAATTCTTTAAAAAAGTAATTAAACTTGCTTCTTGGTCTCTTGCCAGCGGGCAATTGCATATACTGCCAACTACCTTTAATTGTAAAATGGTTATGTCAAGAATATTACAATTTAACTCACAAATTTACAAATTCTTATGTAGATTTGAATTCATGTAATGATTAGACAGATTAATGTTACTTGATGACATTTCCTCAATCAAAATAAACTTTCATTTGTTTCTTAAACACACAAATCAATTTTTTTAAAAGCTCTTTTAAATTGAGGATAATCTACATTCTTGGCTATCTGGGATGAGCCGTGTCTCAGTCAATTGTGCTGATGTTTCGGCGTGGCTCATCCCGAATAGCCAAGAAGGTATTGACCCTGAGACACAGGGTCCCAGATAGCCAAGAATGTATTGACTCTGGCATACGAACGCAAATGAGGATAACTTACTCAAACAAATTAAATTAAAGTTTTAGTTTGTTTACTCAATGCTTACCTTCTTGAGAAGATACCATGCTCCCACCACCATACAGCACAGAAGACATACTACATCATGGGAAGAAAAGTTATAGTTGATAATGTCATCATTACCATTTGGCCCACACTGTGTGAAGTGCAAATGAAATGGGATGTTGGGAATCGCAGCTGGCACTAGAGAGCTGATGACAGGGCTGTGTAAATGAAAGTAAAAGTTACTAATATGCAACCAAACAAATTAACAACAGATTTTCAATCCTAGCTGACCTCTAACATGTCATCACCTTTCTAATAATTTGTTTGGTAATAATTAATGTCAACCTTATTAGTGAAGAAATGATTCATCAATCAAGAGTTTATTGTATTGAAATTTTTTTCTCCCAATATTTTTTCAGATTTCTAGTTTGTTTTAAATTAAACTAAAAATTACATTCCATTAAAATTTTATTAAAGCACATACAGAACTTAAAGTCTTATAAAATGTATTATTTTTAACCAAACATTAAATGACTGATCAAATTAATTCAAAATGAATTGCCATGATTAAAAAAATTAACATTCCAATATATATAAAATTTCTCCCAATCAATGATGGAATTAATACTCTGATGAATGTTTGATATAACTCAAAAGAGGGAAGAGGTCAAAATGGAACATTTATAACAAGGGGAGGGGGTGTAACTTATATGAGGTTTTAGAGGTTTATACAAAGGGGGGAATGTGTTAAATAAACATTTTTGCTAACATATTTATCTACTGATACCATACTTAACAGTGACAGAGGATCATATGGATCAAATATAACTTTATTAACAATAATATCTGACTCTTTCAGGACTAAAAAAAAAAGATTTTTGAAAAGACCGAAAAAACTCACCTTAAAAGATGGCACAATGCAAGGATGCCCAAGAAAAAAAAGTATCCTGTCAGAAGAAGATTTATATACTCCTTAGAGAAAATCTGAAATGAAATAGACTTCAATGACTAGGAGAAAATATTGTTATTGAAATTCTTTAGAAATGGATTCCTTTCACTTAATTAAAGATTTAGACAATACACACCTGGAAGAAGATGTACAACCCAAAAAGAGCAGCACTAGCAATCACTGGAAACATTGCAGCATCTTTATGGGTCATGGTTTCTGGTTTCTCCCCAGACTCCTAAGTAAGTCCAACATTCAATTTATAAGAATCAAGGAGGAAAATATTACAGGAAACATAACTGAGCAGTACAGTGTTTCACACACTGTATTAATAAAGGTGCTTGAAAATTTAAAACAATGGCAAAATATTACTTCAGAAAGCAGATGTAAAATATATTTCATCAGATTGTCTGTAGAAATGATTTCTGCAGCAAGACAGCCAAAATTAATTATACAGTCCTCCACTAATACACATGTAGTTCACGTCAAGTGCAAAAATTATTAAGAGACTGCTGATGACACGCGTAATTTTACGGAATAAAATATTAGTGTTTGGACAAAAACTCGTGTTCACAACGTGAAATATACAGCTTACGTGGAGGTTACCTTCTGCTCCTTATGGTGCTTCACAGAGCGAAAAGAGCCGAAGAATATTGGAAGTAAAGCCATTATTATGAGACTCCCGTAAGCAACAGCGATGCCTTCGGGAGTTGCTGGAATTCTCCCGGTACTGTTAGTCGCTTCATCTGTCAAATTTTCTTTTACAACGTCCTTCACAACGTCTGCCATGTTTCAGATCTCACAGAAAGACAGATGGCGCCAGATGGCGCTAGTGTGGCGGTAGTCAACGCGAGATCCGCGTTGGCGCTCGAGGCCGAAACCAGTCGAAACAACGCCAGACCACTCCGACCCATATACTCTCTGCTCCGACCATAGAGGAGAGATACAGTTGTATGACTCCGACCTGCAGTCTCTCACCGACACTACGAGTGCATGTGAAGCAGAATGATCAGTCATTATCACAATGTTTCAAAGTTCTGTCATATTCCCCTAGTTTCGTATTTGCTTACGCCAGATTTAAATTTGACAACACTGGTGTAGTAAAATTCTAATTATTTACTTTCTGAAACGATAATGTTTATCTGTGTCTTCCATTTACCAGGAAGTTCTCGTCAGCCTAATTCATTATTCATTATTCCAAATCGCGTAATCTCTCGAAAACAAAAAGTATACATGGAAAGTAGTACCAAGTAAAAAATCTTAGAAACGAATAGCAATAAACGTTCACTTGTAAAGAGAACATTTAAGTGAATCATGAAAATTGCAAAAATCTTGCTTTAAAGGACTAATTGTTTTCATTTAGAAAGGATTTTGAGCTTGGTACGCAACCACAATTCATGACATGATTTTTGCTTTAAAGAATAAACACTAAATTTTTATGTATTTAAATAGTAGGGGCAGTTTGATCGTCGAGCACAGCGCGGTGTCTTGAGGGGAATCTCAATTTTCTTTCTTTGACGCTCACTTTAACTTAATTTTATGAATTTCTGAACGTACACAAGTTCAGTCAATTATTGACGGTATTGAATGCATTATATATGATGTTTGAAGAATTTATTTTCTTTTGATGTTAGGTTTTTGATTTAAAATGTATCTACCTTTAATTATGAGCCCGTGTGTAAAGTTAGCCGTTCTAGAAGAAACTTAGGGTGGGGCGTATTTTTGGCTGCAGTTCTACTTGAGTTACAGTCTGCGAGCGATGTTTGTGTGTTTGGAATATCTTTATTACAAGATATAACAGGATCAAATTTTCGAAATAAACTAATTTTGTGAAAACGTGTCCAAGCAATAGAGCTTTCTCCTTTAACGTGTTGCAAAGTGCTGGAGTGCGATCATAATATTTTCGAAACCAATTTTTTTTTTAGTGAATTCTATTGTCACAATTCTATTGTCTCAAATGTCTCAATGCAGAAGTAATAAAAAAATGTGCCCTGACAAAAATCAAAGCCAGAACACGTGCGCGGAAGAGAGGCTGGAGTTCGGATCCTTTATTGGAAAGTGAGGGTGGGACGGGGGATAAATTTCGCCACAATTATAAAACGAAACTATTCGTTTATTCGTGTTTTAAGTTTATTGTACTGCAATTATGTACATTGCTTTCAATTTTGTTAATTATTTAATTGAATTTTATTAATTAAATTAGTTAAATACAGAGGTAACGATCCTCATACTTATTTGAATGGTCCGAGTTGTACATTCAACGAAGCATTTTTCTCAATGAATTATACATCGAAAAAGTGAATTATTTATTATGACCACAAATGTTTATACATAACTGTAGGATACATATTTTAAAATCTACATTAATAAATTATTTTAATTAAAATGCAAGCTTCTGTTTTTGAAAGTATGTAAAACTATAATCCAAAGTCTTCATAGTTTTATTTATAGAGGTGAAGGTGATAATATGAGCCCGAAGTGATTTCATTTCGACATAAAAAATTAATTAAAAGCTTTTTTAAAAAACAAATATGACTTCATCGTCAACATTTATGTAAACCTTGTAAAAAGTATGGACTTTATTAAGTGTTCATATAGAAAGTGAAAAATTAATAATTTATAAGAAATCATGTTTGAAAAACTAAAGGTTTCACAGAATGGCACTGACTTTCTCGTATTAATTATCTATTTTCTTTGATCTGACTATTTGGACTTGCAACATAGTGTTGCCAGTTGCCATCTACCGCTGCCCAAAGAAGATTTTTTTAAAAATGTTTCTCAATTTTTCGGTTTCCTATTCGCGAAAACCAAATATTACTTCACGAATATTAATGAAGAGTAAAACCTCGTCCTACACGGAAATTTTTATTGAAAAATTTGGAGCTGTTTTTACGAAAATGACGTTAAAGCGTTTCTGTAAATGCGAAATTTGAAGCTCTTTTTCACGGAAAAACTTTTGAATTTTCAAAAAACTTCTTTGGAAGCCATTTAAAGCATCTTAAGTCAGAAATGCAACAGTGTTTACAAATTGCTGGAAATGTGCGTATAACGTCGTGAAAGGTCACCTTTTGTAATTTTTGAAAAAAACAAAAGAATATCTCCAAATCAACTTTATGTCATATTAAAATATATTATAAAAAAGCGCATTTAGCACTATCTGTACAAAAAGTTTGGAGCTTTTAGAATACTGAAAAGATTTCTGTGAGAAAGCTTTAAAATTCACATTTTCAGTTACGCTTAAACGCCATTATTTTAAAAACGGCCCCAAATTTCTCACAAAAATGTTCTTCTGTGTCAAGGTTTTACTCTTGTTTAATATTCTTGAAGGAATATTACGGTTCTACGGTAGGGAACCGTAAAATTGAGATATTTTTAAAAAAAATGTACTTAGAGCGGCGATAGATGGCAGCTGGCAAGAGGATGTAACAAGAATGTAAGTTTGCCCAGACCAACGAAATTAGAAAACTAACTAGTTCGAAAAAGTCTGTGCCATTCTGTAGCACCACAAGTTATTTTCTCGTATACATATGTATATGCGGAGTAATATTCGTAGTGTAAAGAAGTTTATGAAATGTGGAAAATGAATTTCGATATTTCAACGGTAATACACGTTTTGGGGTCCTCTAATACCGAAAAAGTTTTTTTTCAAAACGTCCGTCAGTGTCTCCGTCTACCTCCGTCTATCTCGTGCGTGTGAACAACACTAGCGCCAAAACTATGTGTATCCTTTTTTTAGTCTTTTTTTAACCCCTGTCGATCTGACATGACTCGAAGCTCTTCGATTCTGAAAAACATTCATTAATTTTTGGGGGTACTATAGCTCTCGGGACATTTTCAAAAATTTCTCAAAAATGGCTCCACCTTTTTTCTTAAAATTTCTTGAAAAAAAGTGTGAAATACATTTATAACGATGGCAAGTTGATTTTCACTGATGACTGAATTTTTGAAAATTGCAAGAGATTGAACTTTTTTTTCGGCGACTTCCTACAACTACAAAATTGAAGATAGAAATTGTTCTTTCAAGTAAAATTTTTTCACCATAATTAGTTCTTTCGTTTAGGTCACGCACATTGGTTTGAAAATTGTGTTAGTAATCGCACAATATTGCGTCATGTGCAGAATTACAAAATTATAAAAAATATATTCTCAAAAACGACTCCTGATTTTTTCTTTAAAAGAAATTTAGTGAAAATTCTGCTTAAGGTTTAGCCGCAAGCGTTGCTCACAGACAGACGGGCACACGAACAGACATTTTGTCATCCAATTTTCTGTATTAAGGATCCACCATATATGTATTCTAACTACACAAGTGAGAATAATTTACATATCCTGTCGCCGCCGGAGTACCGCAAGGAAGAGTTCTCGGTCCGCTACTGTATCTACAATACACGGTGTACCCACCTATCTCTAGACGTCACGACACCCATGTTTGGTGATGACACAGCGTTCATAATCTCCCGTGAAAATGCTTGTGCACTATCTGAAAAACTTCAAGAATACTGCACTCTGCGGCAGGAATGATCCACAGATTGGCGTCTAAAAACAAATGAAAGTGAATCTGTCCATGTGACTTTTGCATTTAGACCAAGTAGATGTCCTCCAGTTAAAATCAATAAGTACTACAGACAGGTTGACCAATTGGTGCTCACCAATTGTTGTGTTGCTAAATATTTACTACTAGAGTGCTCCGAATTTAACCACAAGCATATAGCAGGTAAGCACGATTTTAGATGAAGATTCGAACCGACCTAGGAATGTAAAATGGTTTAGCAATCACTGATAAATCGACATCTGGCATTGAAGAATGAAAAAACTTATACGATTCATTAAGGATGTTTCCGTCTATTGAAGAAATAAAATTGGCAAATTAGTGCAAAAACCTGCAAATACGAGTTGACAAGACATGTTTATATATACTATGAGACGTTTAGAAGCCAATCTCACTAACTTCTTTTTTTTTTTAAATTGTAAATAATAACACCGCTGTGATCCATAACTAAACATTTGTCAGTGGCCAAGATGACGAACTCCACATTTAATTGGCTTGCTGCTAGAATGCGCTAACTGCCCTGGCAAATGAACATTTTACGAGTATCAGTCGTTTCGGTGGCCAGTGTGATTAACTCCTTGGTTCCATGATAGTCGATGTTTAACCGAACTGTTTTTGTGTTTAACAACTATAGTGTGTTTGTACAAGTGGTATTTCTTGTGTTTACATTCTTATTTTAATCAAGAAGTACTTCCCAAATGATTAATATTTGTCCTTTATTAAAAAAAAGAGCAAAAAATTGTACACCGATTGCTAACTGGCGAAGATATGACGTCGGAGTTCCGTTCTTCTCCCTACTCGGAGAAGTGGTGCGAGAGAGATGTCCGTAAAGTTAGCGTACCCATTTACCACAATATTGAAAAATTGTATCCCATAATTTTGTTCTAATTAAAGACTAATTTATACCCAAATTTAAACATTTTCTACTAATCCCCAACATCGAAATATTCAACACTAAAGGTGGCTACGCTAACTTAACGTTAAGTTAGCGTACCCACTTTTAGTGTTAAATATTTCGATCTTGTATAAATTTTCAAAATTTTTGAATTTGGGTATAAATTAGTCTTTAATTCGCTCATACGTCTGGTACATTTAGTTTTTATGTATCACGCATTTTTGTTATGTGGGTATGCTAACTTAACGTTAGCACCAAAGAGAATGTTTCAAAATGGCGTTTCCTATGTGGAGCTGCTTATTTCAATAATAACGTAACGTTACACTACATACGCATTGTCTAAATCATAAAAAACTGAATAAAAACGTATTTACTAAATTTAGGTATATACGTTTGCACTAGAATTAAATAACGAAGTATGCTTGCTGGATGTTATTATTATCGGAGATAACAGTCATAAACTCATTGGCAAAAAAGGTATATTCTCAGAAAGATACCTCAAGTTTCTTTGTGTCTTA